GGACACTTAGAGTAAGTCCAACAGAGCGGCATTTGGCGACCAACTGCATAGCTGAGATACTATCCCCGCCGATACGGAGGAAAGAGGTCTCTCCATGAATACTATATTCGGGTACACCCAGGAGGCTAGACCAGATTTTTCTAAGAGTTTCCTCTACTGGACCTAGTGAAACTGGGCTGCTTGCCTTGGAATGGTTGGGTTGCTCGTTGAATTGGTTAATCTGCACATGGGCCACTTCAGAAACCCTCTCAACCATTTCGACCAAAGATTTGCGATTAGTCTTAGCTGAGGAGGTCAACGGCATTCGAATCAACGGGATCCAGTGGTCTGGTATCATATATTCTGGAAGTTCTTGTGGCAGCCTATTCCGGAGAGAGGCTAATATCCCAGACACTTCATTTCGTGATTCTAGGGAAAGAATTCCGAGCTCGTTGTCCGCTTCCACGGGGGGTGAATTTATGGTAAATAAAGCCACCAGCTTTTTTGCAAACGGTCCGCTACGCGGCTGTATCACCGCTCTCTCTTGGATGGATGGATGGGAAATCTTTGATTCAATCTCCTCCAGCTCCAATCTTTGGCCACGAACTTTTACTTGTAGATCTTTACGCCCAACATAGGAAAGAGTACCGTTCTCATTCCAATGCACTAAGTCACCAGTTTTGTAAATGCGTGCAGATTGTGGTGAAATATCAATATTTTGGCGCCAAGGTGGATGAGCGATGAATGCGGTAGCGGTCCTCTCTGGATTATTAAGGTATCCCATAGCCTCAATCGGACCCTCGACAAGAAGCTCCCCAATCTCGCCAATTAGGGACAGCTCATCATGATTATCAGGGTTAACTACCCAATGGACACTCCCACACGGTTTACCAATGACTCCCACATCATTGGAACTCTGGATATGGTTGGCCGCGCACACAATGGAGCATTCAGTTGGGCCATAGGCATTGATGAGCTTCACCCTGTCTTTCCACATAGCTATGGCCATGCTTGTGATCGGTTCTCCACCCAGAACAAGTGTTTGAAGCGATGTACCCTCGCTTAAACTCAGTGTCTGTACGACGGATGGTGTCAATAACGCCCAAGTCGATTCGTATTTCTGAATTGATTGTGCGACTGAGTCCATGCATTCATCTATTGAAGGTGTGCATACAGTCCCTCCCACTATGAGTGTACTAAATATCTCGAGGATTGATGCGTCGAATGAGTATGAGGCAAACTGAAGAGTCCGGATTGACTCATGAATGTTTAGAGGCTCGCAATAGCTACCGATACTCGTACAAAGTGCTTGATGTTGAATCATAACACCTTTTGGTTGTCCCGAGGTACCAGAGGTGAATATAACATACGCCAACCCACTGGGCGGGACTGAAGGGAGTGATGACACTTCAGCGCTTTGTGACAATATCTCAATACTTTTTCTATCGATGGAAATATGCTGTCTTTTTAACCAGAACTGTCGATATTTAGGGGATGTAATAACGAGACGAGCATTTGTTTGGGAGACAATGCCTTCAAGTCGTTCTAAGGGATGTCGAACATCCAACGGTACAAAAGCTGCTCCAGCCTTTAACACTGCAATCATGCAAACGATAGAGTAAGATGACTTCTCTAAGCAGAGTGGTACTAGGTCACCATGAGAAATTCCAAGTGCGGAGATGTGTGTAGCTAAGCGGTCCGTAATCGACCAAAGCTCGGTATAACTTAGAGATCCATCCCACCCACACAGGGCTTCCTTATGTGGATTCTGCAGCACTCTCCGGCCGACCTGTTCGTGTATCGTAGAATACTGTATCCCCGGGGTATTAGAGTTCCATTCAATCATCTGTAGGATATCACTAGTGCTGATTACTGCACTAGCTGTTATAGGCTTTCCAGGGTCACCTATTATCAGCTGCTGGAGGACATAGTCCCATTGATTTAATATCCGTTCAACTTGCTTGTCGGTGACAATTGTGGAGTCAAAATGGGCGTTTACTATCATTGCTCCGTCATCCACCAGCTGAGCCTCTAAGGTCAATGCGTTACCCGCAATCACTTCCTTGGAGAGAACTAAGCGTTCTTGACAGAACAGCCCTTCCGTCGCTACCGATTGCGGAGGTTGAACTACCAATAAAGATTGGAATTCACAGGCGCGAGCGGCTGCGGAGGAAAGAGACCGAATTCTCTGCATTCCAACCGAACCAAACTCCATCACCTGGGCCAGATGAGATTGGAGATCACCTAAGAGATTAGACACGCTTTGTCGGCGATCAATACGCACTCTTAAAGGAACCGTACTCAAAGTTGGCCCAATGATCTGTTCAATTTCTTCGACCTGACCATAACGCCCACTCAGTGTCACTCCAAATACCACATCATCTGATTCGACGTATCGAGAAAGTAGGAGAGCCCAGGATCCTTGTAGCAGGACAGATGGTAGAAAATCTGTTAAAAATGGACACCGAACAGTGGATTGAAAAACAATCGTCTGATCTGCTACGGCACGATACTCAGGCTCAGTAATATGGGGGAAAGTTTTGGTTGCAAAACCATTCAAATCATTAAGCCAGAAGGCATCCCCGGCATCACCATTTTGTGCCATCAAGTTTCCTATAAAATCGCTGAAATTGGGTCGATGAATTCGGTACATGTTTGAGTAAACGCGCTGGACATCTTCCAACACCAGGGGTAAGGAATGGCCATCGTAAAGGATATGGTGGATCGTCCATACAAAGAAAGTTAACGTGCTGTCAAGGTGATCTTCCACCAAAGCAAAGCTAGTAAGCTCACTACCATAGAGAGCTGGTGTTGGACTGGAATTTTTGAGATATGTATCCAAGTTGCGCTCTAGTTCCCAGTGGGGTTGAACGCCTGTGACAACTTGCATCAGCTTCTGAGTAGTGGAAATAATGCGGGTGCGTAATATTGGAGTTTCCCGCACGACCACTCTCCACGCTTCCTGAAATCGAGTCAAATCCACCTCTTGGGGCAAGCGATACACGTATCGTGCTTGGTATGCAGAAGGGTTGTGCAAGGTAATCGCCATCAATGCTTCCTGCATTGGGCTGCATGGGTAGATAACTTGAATCATATTTTCGCTCAAGTGGCATTGCCCTGCAGCTTCTCTTATTAACTCTATATCGCCATCGCCTAGAGAGAGCAAGGATACGCCCTGGTATATCTTTGATGACTGCTTTAGTAATGCTTGTGCTTTAGTCGCCATCTGCAGTATTGTTGGGTTCTGGAAGACATCCATGATGGTCATATCAATTTGATTGTCTTTTAATCGTCTGATCAGCTTAATAGCAGCCAACGAATCTCCATAGCGGAAGAATTTGTGATCCAACCCTAGCTTATCTTTTGACACTGATAAAACATCAGACCAGGCTGATTGAATTACCTTTTCTGTTTCAGTGAGCTGCGGAAGTGAGCCTTCTGTATTAACTTTCTGAAGATCGCCTTGTATCACAGCCAGCGCTAAAGTACGAAGAGCTAAACGGTTGATCTTTCCTGCCGTCGACAAGGGTATTTGCGATATTGGTATGAAGAATGTGGGGATCATATACCTAGGTAGATGGCCGTCGAGGGAGGATTGTATCTCATCTACAACTTCGCAGGGTTTGTTTTCAGAAAGAACATACAAGCCATTCTTGTCCGTAGTGTCCTCAAAAGCTATTAAAGCTACCAAAACTAGCTGTTGCTGCTTTAAGGGGTGGTGGAAAATATCCACGACGGCTGAGGCTAATGGGCAGCACCTTTTGATTGCTGTTTCAATTTCCCCTAGCTCAAGTCTTTGGCCATTGAGCTTGACCTGGCGATCCTTCCGGCCTAGATATTCGAGGGTCCCATCGGCACAGTACCGGACTAAATCTCCGGTCCTATATAATCTAGATCTGATTTTGGAGCATAAAAATTTTTTGTACCAGGGCGGAGGTTGAATGAAAGCTGCATCAGTTTTTTCTGTGTCCTCAAGGTATCCTCGGGCCAGAATTGGGCCGGACAAGAGCAGCTCTCCCGGAGCTCCAATAGGCATCAATTGGGCTGGGTTTTCCGGGTCTGTGATAAAAGCAGTTGCTCCCACCGCACGACCTATGTTGCGAGCAGACCTACGGCTTAGATCAATATCGCCTATTACCGAGAAAATAGAGCACTCCGTTGGACCATATGCATTGATGAGCCTTCGGTGAGGAGACGCCCATTGGTTGATGCTAGCTTCCGTAACGGCTTCGCCGCCAAGAACCAAAGTGTCAAGCTTTAGAATCGATGTGGCATCAATAATCTGAGAGAAGGAGGGGGTGAAAAACGCCCAATTAATATTCATTTGATTAATGCAGGCGGCAGTATCTTGAACCCGAACAGTATCTTCTGGGATACAGATACATCCGCCATGATATAGTGTTCCAAAAGTCTCTGTAACCGAAACGTCGAATGTGTAAGCAGTATTTTGAAGAACCCGCGATGTGGAGCAGAGCCCAAGAACGGCTCCGTGTGCCTGGAGGCTAGCGCTGAGTGCTCGCTGCTCAACTAATACCCCTTTTGGTCGCCCTGTGCTACCAGAAGTAAAAATACAGTATGCAGGAAGATTTGAAGGTGGCGGGGGATGGCAGTAGGGTGCATCATCTTGGAAGCGGGTAAACAAGTCACGGTCTACTGCCATCAGTTTAACAGCCGTGGAGTCCATCAGAAATGTAAGGCAGCTCCTCCTAAGCTGCACTGACGAGGTAAGAATCAGTTTCGGCTGGACCTGGGATAATATATCCTCAAATCTCTTCTCTGGGCATGCAGGGTCAACAGGAACATATATTCCCCCAGCCTTGTGAATAGCTAGCATAGCAATTATCGCCCAAGCAGACTTTTCGAAGCACACCGGGATGTAGTCGCCATTGCGGACGGCGCAATATGATCTGAGCTCCATGGCTAGCAACGACGATAAACGGGAGATCTCGTTATATGTGAATTTCCCGTCCCAGGAGTCAATTGCCAATGCTTCCGCGGGCTGCTGGTCAATAATTTCATAAGAACTATGATCTTCACGGTCTAGTTCTGGGGCGTAGGTTGCCCACTCCTGAACTTGACTCAAAGCTTCGGGGCTCACTAGGTCCAAGCAACTCACTAAAGTCCATGGACACTCGTTGATTATGTTGAATGATTGGAGAAAGGCGTCAGCGACATGATGGCTGAGCGCTGCTAGCCAGTGGCTAAGCTTGAAACTAAGGTAAATGTGCAGATAATTCTTAGACACGATAGCTGTGACGTAAATATGGTGCTAGTTGACTGTATTAGTGTTTCTAGTCTCATCTTGTTATAGTGTTTAAAACAGTAGGAAATAAAACCTCACTTACCATCCTTGGCATCGATGCAGCAAGCTTCCTTGCATAATCCTCAGTATCTCTTGTGTCGTCAGGCAAACCCCATATTTGGATCATACTATCCACCCCGTGCTCAGCCGGGATGCCATCGCCATCGCATTCTTGAGTAAGGGGCTTTATTATGAGAGCATCCAGAGTCACCTGACCCTGAAGAGAAACAACCCTAGCTTCCGGGACAAACACTTCCTTTAAGCGCCCATTGCCCTCTCTAGCGAATGACTCGGACGTAAGACATTGGTAAGCAAACCGAACCTCATCCACTCCTTCATAGGTCCGCAGCACGACAGCCCAAGCAAGCTGAACAAGTGCAGGAAGCGAAAGACCAACGTTGTCATCATCGAGAAAGCGTAATTTCGATAAATTCTGCGTGGGAATTGCGACCACCGTCCAATCATTTGAAGATGATAAGCATCCACCAGTGGGTACTTGCGGCGCCATTGTTTTCGGCTCTGGCATGATGCAAAACGCTGTTGGGTTTTAGTCTCACTCCAGCAGGCCTCTGGTGGTGAGAAAGAGGCTCTACTTTACATAGAGTCCTCATTCTTTTCATTGCAATTAAAGGTATTTTTCTGTTCCCTTCTCCCACACGTCCAAGGGTAGCGGTGTTTGTCATCATCATGGACAGATGACTGTGCATGTCTAGGTGAATTCCGAAGGAAGTGCTGCCTTAGCTACTGCTTCGGCATTCTATCAGTTGGTATTCGGGGTATACAGGAGTTTTAAAATTATATCCGATGTTCTAGTAGATGATCCGTATAGCAGCATTTAACACCAAGACAGAAGTGAGTGCTCTGTTGACGTTAAAACAAGTGAGTTTTCGCCAAGTTTCTCTTAATCTCGAAGCCTTGGCTATTTTTGTCACGTGATGTGATGAAGCTGGGGTATAGAGCAGCAAATGGACACCTCAAGAGATCAAACAAACGCAAGAATAAGTAATATATGCGGTGTATTAATTGATGATGGCCCAGCTATAGTATAACCGTAACCATCATCATCACCATCACATAAAATCTATATATTCTAATCTTCATCACGTGTTGGCGTGGTATTAAAGTTTTTCCGCTCCAAACAAACTGTAGCCAATTAAAATATTCTTCCTGTAAAAGTGGTTAGTATTGTTATTTTAAATATATGTTATTGGTGTACAAACGAAAACCCAGCCTATTGGATGTTATATTAGCCAATAGTTACGTATTCTGTCAAAAAAACAATCTCTGAGCGCGGCTGGTCAAATGGTGCCTAAGTGATATAAGCGCAGAAGTAGCGTCCCAAACATTCATAATAAATTGTTAATATTCATCATACGCATATTTAATATATTATTACCACTAGTTAGCCTGTGAATATCAAACCTCAACTCGATGAAGCATTGGGTCGATGCAGGGTTTAAGGGGTACAATATATTGACCGATCAATGAGGCGATCCATGTCAAGCTCTTAAAAGTACTACTTCGTCCCTCAAAACACACTCGATACGGAGCAGCTTATCTTCTCTGGAGGGGTGACGGCTCTGGATGTTGCGTTCCATGCAGAAAGCCAATAATTCGCTTTTGCTCCTGATAGTGGATGCCATTGGCCTGGTAAGGAACTTGACCCTGATGATCCAATGACGCAAAAGCGCGCCTGAAATCATCCTTGATATCTTCAATATGCTCAATTCCCACCGATATACGGATATGGTCCTCTGTGACACCGGCGTTGAATCGTTCTGTGTCGGTGAGTTGTTGGTGGGTTGTCGTCCAAGGGTGAACGACAAGAGTCTTCGAATCCCCTAGACTGAGAGTGCCGCTAATGTGTTAGTAAAATTTGCATCATTCAGGCAGAGTCAGTACATCCAAAATATGGAGGAGGAGAAAAGAATGAATGATAAAATACTTTGTTGTATTGATGATCATCCGAAAGCCATCACATAACTTAAACCCTGCCTCCTTGCCTCCTTTTATACCGAAGGAAAACACCGCACCATAACCTCGCTGCAAGTACTTGGTTGCATTGAGGTGGCAAGGATGGTTTTCTTGTCCCAGATATCGCACCCAAGCGACTTGAGGTTGCTGCGAAATCCAGTCGGCCAGTGCCGCAGTATTTGATGCATGGCGATCACACCTGACGGCGAGAGTCTCGAGCCCAATCAACAGTTGCTGTGCTGTTTGTGGGCTCATCGTGCTACCGATATCACGCAATACTTCATACTGGCAGCGCATGGCAAAGGCTCGGGACCCAAACACCTTCCACAGGCTGACTTCACCGCTGCCCTCCTGGGCGGCGTCATCTGAGTGGAATTGAGGAAACCGATCCGCATGGCGACCCCAATCAAAAGTACCAGCGTCCACAATAACGCCGCCCAGGGTGGTTCCATGGCCTCCAATCCACTTGGTGGCAGAATGAACCACGATATCCGCCCCGTGGTCGATGGGTCGACAATAGTAGCCTGCACAACCAAATGTATTGTCGCACTATGGATAGGCAAGGCTGTTAACACGGTGTTGCACACCTCTCCTTGGAGAGAATACGGGGTATAACATACGATTAGTGGGATGCCATGGGAATGGGCGATTTCAGCCAGAGCTTCGAAATCTGGAACAGTATATTTCGGGTTGCTGATGCTTTCCACAAAGATAAATTTTGTCTGCGAGTCCAGCAAGGCACGGAAATCTTCAGGCTCGTTCGATGAAACAAACCGGCATTCAATCCCAAGCTGCGGGGCCAAGGATTTGAATTGATGGTATGTACCTCCGTGAACAGTGGAAGAAGCGACAATATTGTCTCCTACCTTAGCCAAAGCCATCAAGGTCATGGACACTGCCGCAGTGCCAGATGCCGTAGCGCAGGCGGCCACTCCCCCTTCAAGTGCTGCCATGCGGTTTTGGAACACACTAACGGTAGGCTATTTAAGCACATTCATTAAGAATCAGCTAGCCGTCGCTTTCGTCCCAGCAGACCAAATCCTAGTGGCGCTTACGTTCGTGATTCGGCTGTATATATTTCCATATTCACTCAAATTTAATAGGCGGACCCCATGCTCTGCGTTATTAAACGCAAATGCCTATAGATCATGTTAGCTTTTTGATTGGTATTCCAGCATATATCAATGGAGAGTACCGAGGTCGTATAAATAGGGACTGCACAGCTATTAAGAGGGTCGGGGAATTTCCTATGTCACATATAATGTTAGCTATAAGTATGATACGTGCGATACTTGACAGCTATCATTCCCTACTTACCCAGCATGAAGCTGTAGAGTCTCAAACCGCTGAGAGTCCTGCGGTTGCTGCTTCTGTTGTTCCATCTTCGATATCTGGGTCGGCGGCGACTTGGATGCTCAGCCAGTTTGGCCATCTTTGTGATACCATCGCCGCAAGGCTTATAAGCATCTGTTTCTAGCTTGCTTATGACTGTGCAGAAGTTTTGATCTGTTTCTATGTCGTCAAACCTTTGTTATTCATAGATAAGGTGGAAAAGACGCTGTCTAACAAACTAGTTAACAAGTCATCCAACTCCGAACTCCGATGACAGCTATTTAATTACTCCGAATCTATGGATTAAACCTGACTGTACTTCTCTCCATGCTTTTCATGTACACCCGAGCAATTATGGACACTCACGCCTTTGCTCGAGCGGTCTCTCAAGGGCTGGGATGGGCATATTTCCTGCTCTGGTCCTTTTCTTTCTATCCACAGCTAATCCACAACTGCCGCAGACGGTCAACCGCCGGCTTCTCTTTCGACTTCACGCTTCTGAATATACTAGGACTCGCAGCATATACTGTCTTTAACGGCAGCCTGCTTTTCTCTTTGGTGGTACGATCCCAGTATGCCAAACGACACCCACAAAGCCCAGAGCCAACGGTCCGACTAAATGACTTCGTATACGCAATGCATGGAACTATAATCTGTCTTCTATTATACAGTCAGTTCAAATGGGCTGCTATCTGGAGATTTAAGCCCATAGATCCTCCTCCGGTAGCAAACAGGCCCACCATTTTTATGTTATGGGGCTGTATTGGAATTGTTGCATTAGACGTCGCTGGAGTGACCTTCTTTCCAACATGGACTCAGCGTGAATGGCTCGATATAGTAAGTAATATGAGGATTTGAAAGTAGAAGAAGCGTCTCAAGTCGATACGCATATCTATAGGTCTCTCTAACGTTTGGCATAGGTCAATACAATTGGAAACATCAAAGTCTTTCTGACTGCAATAAAATACACTCCACAAGTCGTGATGAATTGGTACTGTCAGTCTACCGAGGGCTTCAGCATAATTGCCATCTTGCTTGATTTAACTGGAGCTCTGCTTTCAGTGATGCAGTTGGTTCTCGACTCATCCTTGCAAGCGGACTGGTCTGGGGCAATAGGTAATCTATCTAAGCTCCTGCTAGGAAACATTACTCTGTTATTTGATGTAATATTTATGATCCAGCACTATTGTCTATATCGAAAGCAAAGTCTGAAAGTGACAAGACACAAAGTGGTAGCCGATGAAGAAGAGCCTTTGATAAGCCCTGGAATTGCGTGATATATACCTTCTAGCCCAACTCGACCCCCTGGGTGAGCCACCTTTGAGTTATAGCTATAGGCACACTTAACCATCAGTTATTAGATAGATCAAATATAGAACAGAATCAACTTTTCCATTGTAGAACCATACCAATACAGGCAATCATCCCAGTTTGCTAAAGGCTCCTTGGAACAATACTTAGAAGAAAGGTTATGTATAGTAGACATCACCAGCCATAAGATCTATTTACAGTTCTGGTCAATTTTGAGGGTTAAGTACACGTTGAGCCTTCTAACACAGCAAATTTTCCATTCATATAGTCGTACCCCGCCCCTCTTTATGCGCTAGGGTAGAAACCAGTTGCATGATAATCCATATTCTTGCCACTCCAATGAATGTTCACCGTCCCTATTGAGGCTCAGTAGTCCCGGAATGCAATGCGGAACCAAACAGTTGTTACAAACATCATCCCTGCCACAACCGACCACAGAATGACAAGCAACGGATCCTTAGCGAGAGGCGTCAGTGCCATTGCAAGTAAGTATCCTAGTCCAGCTGTTCCAGTGTAGCAGGCCTGCAGTATTGATTTCATGCTGCTAGGAGAGTGAGAATAGGTATATTCGGAACCTGTAGGCCAGCAGAATACCTCAGCAAGCGCGATGATGATGTAGGTTGGTAACTGAAGTAGTACATGGACATGGTTAGGGATCTTGCCACCTTCTGATGCAGCGCATGCGAGAGGATATGAATAGCAAGGGCCAGCCTTGTAGATAATTGCCTGTACAATAGCCGCGTAAGCCATAGCTACTGACATAATAGCAAATCCTAGGGAGATCCGATTGATTGGACTGAACTGGATCTTATAGCGTTGTAGTAGTGGGTATAGTAACTTTTGTACCATTACACCAATAACCACGTACGCAATAGGGTTAGATGATTTAATAAGGTCATTGGGGACTCCATAGGTTTCCATCTGGCCAGCTTGGGATATAGAAACTTGGGCACCTTCACCCATGCAAACCCAGAATATGGGCCATCCAATGCTATTGATAATTAGTGTGTTCTTAGGCCACGATTTAATTATTAACTAGTTAAAGGATAACATACCATATCTTGAATGCGGACAGAGCATCTCGTAATTCAGCAATGAAGTCCTTGCTCCACGGAACAACCCTGTTGTGTGTTCGAAGCTGGTTTTCTGGTAAGGCAGCATCAAGGTCAAATCCGCCTTGTGCAGCATACCATAAACAACGAGCTGCGTGTGGAAGGATCGATCCTTGAGCAGGAGGATGGACTATAGTAAACCATTATGTTAGCTATCGTCTTGGGTACAGAGTAATATTAAATCTTCGAAATATAAGTAGAATTTATACCAAATTTTGATCTTGCGAGCTGGATAATGACCACGCAGAGAATCACGGCACAAAGGTCTAGCAAGTATGCTGACCAGTAGCCAATATACTTCTCCATGAGTGTTGTAGCAATACTCCCGAGTGAACCAAAGTTAACCATCCTAAATATAGATTAATTATCTGGCAAGGTAATATTTTAGCACTAACATACCAGTAATATACATTGTATATATATTGGATAGTCATTTCTGGATCTTCCACTACCCTTTGGCCGCTCTTCGTTACCCTAACTCGCATTTTTGTCTCGGTGTACTGGTCCGCTAGTTATTATTAGCAAATTCCTCTCCTTATCTTATAGCTAGGCTCAAAAGAAATAAAGATATTACCAATGAAGGGTTGTACAGCAGCTTGAACACCCCCAAGCCCAATTGCAATAAGAATGGCGGCTGGTATAAATCCTATTGTAGCTACTCCAGTTTGCATCTGTGAGGGAAATGAGGTAGCAAACAGAATTGCAGAACCCGCGACATAAATCCTATAGATATAAGATATTGAATTAGTAAGAAAGTTTTCGTATATACGTAGATAACTCACGCTGTAAATATTTGTAGAGATAAAAATCTCCCTAGCCAACCATCAACAAGAAGGGACGCTGGCACAGGCAATAAATTAACAAGAACAGTAAATGCTAAGTTCACACTTGTTGCATGGGACTTCCCTAGGCCCATTGCACCAGGAATAACATCCGTTGGACTGTTTTGGATATAGTTCTCTAGAATACTCTTGCTGTAAGCGCTCAGTACTCTATATGAACTTGACACGAGGAGTACCACCCACGAAAAAGTGTTTGTGTGCCGTAATAGGCAAACCGCTCAGTCATACTAACGAGCGACGCCAACCAAACCCCCACTGGTAGAGGGGCGGAGACATGCTGAAGCTCGCGGATATCCTGTTCAGTTGCTAGCTCGCCTGGTGGAGTTGGCTGTTTCTCGACAGCTATAGCCTGGGATTCCATATTACTCGGTTTCTATGACTAGCTTTGCTGGCGTTGAAGGTGACGATAGATAGATTGGTCCCGCAGGCTGCACCAACAGATTGCTGTTTAATCCTTCGTTTTATGATGACTTCTATTTGGAGGAGGCCTTGAAGGATCGGGGTTCGGAGTTGGGAGCTGGAGTTCGGGATAAAGATTGCCTTGACAAGGGTATTAGGTAGATGTTAGAAATGAGTTAATATGGTCCAAATTTCCCGACAATTCTTGAAGACACAGGAAAGCAGCTCCACGCAATTGTTATACTTCCAAGATGTCGGCTCTCTCTTTCATCCTCACCGACCGTGCTTTGAATGGTATGCTTCTTGATTCAACAAAGTCAACCAGCGCTAACCTGCGTATCTTAGTCCATGTCCGAGTTCAGGGTATAACCCTTGAGCCAATCGGCACTGTTGGGCCGACCCGATACAAAGTCATCAGTGGCATCTTCCAGCTAGTAGAGGAAGAAGCCATCCAAACCCAGCTTGATTTAGGCCCTGATACCAAAACCCTTGTCTTGGTTGACGAGAGCTGTGATAGGCCAGTAGCGACGGAAATCCCTCGGGAAAAGCTCAAATTGTTTTGGGCCTTCATTTGTCGCGTCCTAAAGCCTGTCAGGACTGCCTCTAGAGAACCACGAGGACTGAATTTGATAATTCCCGATGAAGCTGGTTACATCGTCCGGAGCGATATCTTCGAGGAGCGACTTAGAGGTTGCCCACAGATTCAGGCAGTGGAGGGATTTGTAGCGCCAGGGCAATATGTCCGGCCTCCTGGCTCGGCTGGCAATTCAGGGAGCCCAGCTTCCCTTCTCCTGTCAGTAATAAGCTGCGTTTTAGTAGCTGGTTCCGATGAAAAATCGATCACCCAGTCACTGGATATCGTTCAGCCGTTGTTAAATGACCGACTCTCGTTGCCCTGGCTTTCAGCTACGCAGATAGCCGCTCGAAGGCTAGCGGTAGTCGGCGAGATACGTTCGTATAACATGTGCGCCCGCTATTTTCAGGCCGCGCGAGCCCTTAATGTTATCGTGGTAGCGATCGGCAACGGTGGCCATTGGCTAGAAGAGGATACACCTCAAAATATGCAGATTCGAGAAGCCTACATTCAACTAGATATGACGGCTGATTTGGAGTTTCCAAGCCGTGTTGCAACGGCTATCCGAAACTATCAATACCAGATCGACGGGATAACCACTGTCACCGATTTTCTGCTTGTCCCAGTTGCTGAAGCGGCCCGGCTTCTCAACTTGCCAACTTTATCACCTGAAGCTTTTGGAAAATCAGTAAATAAATATGCAACACGACTAGCGACTAGCCCGGACTCCTGCCTCTTGGTGTCCAGCCACGATGATCTCTCAAAGTTGTCAAAATCTGGAACTAGCCTTCCTCCAGGTCCACCCTGGATTGTCAAGCCCTGCAACGGCTGGGGTAGTACGGGCATCATAAAGGTCTCCAACAAGGAGGCATTGGTAGCTGCCCTGGAGAAGGTTTCCAGTAACACCGGGTACTCCGGGGCAGGTCTACCTGATAGTCACGAGCTATGGGAAACTAAAGTGCTGGTAGAGGAATACTGCGACGGCCCGGAAGTTGATTGCAACTTTGTTTTGTGGCATGGTGACATCTTGCTCTTCGAGGTGGTCGATAACTTCCCGTGTACTGGTGACAATATCGATAACGGCACTGGAAATTTCTGTGAGACTCAGTTGGTGTTTCCATCCGCACTACCCCCCTCAGAGCAGTTGGTGCTGCGGGATTACTTGTATAAATCAATCTTGCGCCTTGGTTTCAGATCAGGAGTTTTCCATGCTGAGGCACGGGTGCGTCAGTCCAGCCGTGAGTACCGAAATGGAGACGGGTCAATGGATTTGCGTCTGAAGTCTACCGCCGCATCACAAGAACCAGGAGCCTTCCTTATTGAGATTAATGCTAGGCCGCCTGGGTATCTAGACTCGTTCGCCAGTGCTTTTGTTCACGGTGTAGACCTCAACGCTCTTCATATTTTGATAGCATTGGAGGATGATATTCGAGTTCAGGCCCTCTCAAAAACATACAGGGAAAACGGCCATCTAGTTGTTGCTGCCATTGAGGCCGAACGATCGGGTATAGTCGTGTCTGATGACCCGTGGCAAGACCTGGAACAGAAGAATCCAGAGCTTATGTCCAATGTGGTTCAGAATGTTATGACGTTCCAGAAAGGCGATAGGGTGGATGATCCACACCTGGATACAACACTATGGCTCTCGGGTTTCACGGTGTATTCCCCTGAGAGTCGCGCGCAGGCATTGAAAGTGTGTGCACAGGTCATAGCTGAATTCCACTGTGAAATCGCATAGAGTAGCTCCGAATCTCAGACAAAAGAATAGTGTCCTAAAATTCACATAACATCTGATCAAAAACGTTCGCTATATTTGTGCGATCAAGTAGGCCTGTCCCATCTATATCAAAAAACATAGAGTCAATATCATTGGATTCATTGCCAATTCCGGATTCCAGACCTGGCTCTATAGAACCCGGCTCCAACACTTCAGTAATTATTTGTGAAAAGATAGTAGTGGCACGACTGAAAAAAGAGAAGCCAGCAGTGCCAGGTCGCGCCATTGATTCTAAGTGGGAGATAAAGACGCTTAGGTTGCGAATAAGGGTAGCTCGAGAGCCATAATATGAAATTGGCTGCTGTGTCCTGGCTTGTTTTTGAAGTGCTCGAATTAGAACACTGGCACTTGAAAACCCAAATAGGAGCAGCTATTAAGCAAATGAATTAGCCAATGAGTGATTAAATTATATAGTAATAATGATCTAGTACTCCGTACTTACCGTCCAAAAAAAATCGCGTTGGATATCAAATGAACGCTCCCTTTGTCTACCAAATATCAAGACTGTGGAGAGTATTGTAGCGCTGATATTAAGCAAATCCTCCCGGGCATTTGGGTAATCTTCAACTATTAGGCTCTGGATAAGGAAGCCGTTATAGAGGTACGCCAGATATGACACAATTAGCATCAGTTTCACACTCGCGGGTAGATCAGTGTCCCAACAGGCCTCTGAATAGCGGAACAGTTCTGGCAGCGAATTCCAAGCCTGATTACACCGACGTAAAACATCCCTATGAAGTGACATCAGTACACGGAGCTTCACATTAATAATCAGGATTAGGATGTTAAAAATTACCTCAATTGGTCTAATCTTTCTAGCCCAGATTTTTGCAGTGATAGTTCCAGGATTTCTTCTCTAAAGGTACCTATTATGAATCGTAGCCTTATCCAAGCCGCACGCTGGAAAACTGGGTGAACACTCCAACCTTCGGCAGTTAGTGAGCTCCGCGCAGCTTCCATTTGACTATGGTTGCCCACTAGGGCCTCATCGCTGATATCTAGTGGAAGGGGACAGTCTGAATGTCTTAACGAGATTAGAGGTGGACGGCCTAAAAAGGTAGCAACACTCTTGTCAAACTGATAGGAAGCAGCAAAGAGTCTGCGTCGAGATTCTAGTAGGAATGGCGGAAGCGAAGCTGAAGCACCGTCTCTATGTAACCCAAGCTCGAAAATATATGTAGCAAGCTCGCCCAAACGGTGCCATGTTGCCGAGCCTATTGACCGGTTTTCTTAGTTTCAATTAAATCCAACGAAGCGGTAGGAAGGCTTACTGGAATCACCAAGCACCACGCTAGAAAGAAGTAAATTTTCATAGACAAGCCACAGGGTGAGATCATTCGTAGGTGTTAGGCACTTGCAGATCTGGATTATAGTATCGCTGGCAGTAAGCATCTGACGTGGGAATTCAGCATCACGCGTGGTGTTGGTACTACTAGGAGAATAAGATAGCCCAAAGTAACTTGCCCGGCCTGCTAGAGCATAAATAACTCCAATTATCTCTAAACGGAGAGATGAACCTGTAAAAAGCTCGTAGAAGCTTGTTGCGTCCGCCATGGGTGAAATATCGAGCACCTCTTGTGTATTTCTAATAATTGAGGTTGTCAACGCGGAGAGCTGCTCATTCGTACCGCCTAGCTTTTCATTATATGTGATTTCAATCCGAGCCAGAGTATCGAACACTAGGGGTGCTGCAATGGCTGCAGATTGGCTCATGCTATAGTAATTTTGAATCAACTGCTTCATGACGGGAAATTCATTAAGATGGCTTATGGCTTTAATGGCCCTCTGTGTCCACCATGGCTGCGCGGCGACGAACTCTGGTCCACCCTGTGGCTGCTCCTTAGCACTACATACCAACTCACTGTCTTCTTCAAGAGCAGAAATAAAGCTGGTAGGGCCCAAATAACCCGCTGGTAACAGCCCATCTTGTCTGGAGCTTGGGGTCATCGTAGTATTTGTGTCTGGAGACGAGTTTGAAACCCCAGACGTGGGTATATGAGCAGGCTCATTATCCAGGCTCGGCGGGGAAGACCTGGTTTGGCTAAAGCACAAGTTATTTCACTGACCCAGTCGAATAAACATCGATATCACTTGCCTATCGAGCCTCCGTGCCCTACTCCTGCGAGTCAAGGGCGCTGGGTGGTAGAAACACTGGCTTTCGCTCCCCCGACGGTGGCACCGCGCACAAACTGGCTGTGCATGGTCGCACCGCACTTTGTCTTTCCGGCAAGGTTCACAAGACGCGGGTTTGCCGTTACGGCGCCGTGAGCTCCTGTACCGTCGTTAGCAAAGCCATGGCCGCAGAAACATGTCTAGAGAGATAGCTACAACATCTTTAAGGCGAGTGAGGTCCAACTTGGCCCAGCAATGCGAAAAGGCACGGGTAATCGGGCAGCGTTTACAAATAGGCCGTCGTGTTCAAACTGGCGGGAGAACATGGATCCTTTATATACAGTGGACCAGGTCACTTCCTGTCGGATTATGCATAATCCGTACTGCCCAAGTGCTGGAGGGGCCAGTTAACTAGCAGGTTGGTTGCAAGCTTCCCACAGGTTTTGAACGCACGTCTTTCATGCTATAATATAACGAGGGAGTACGGAGTAAACGAGGTTGTCACCAAATTCACTGACACAGGGTGGCCTTTGGACGCAATTTATGTGGCCTTCCCCCTTGACTGGCTGCGGCTTCGAAACCCGAAAACTTCCACCACACTCGATCAGCTGCAGCCCCACAATCACCACTGCGGAATATGTCCAAGTTGCTCGATGTTCCATTTGGGCTTCTCGCCTTTGATCAATTCGTTGCTATGAGTGGGGGACTTCTCTGTTTATTAAGCCGGGCCAATCTAACCTTGAGGACCAACAGGAGAACTGGGATCCAGCGCCATCACTGTCAAAACATGAGCAGAAGTGGGTGCTTGTCGAAAAGTGGATTGGGTTAGGGAAATATGGCCGAAATGTACTGTGTACACCAAGGTCTTCCCTATTGATGCCACCTAGGAATTACCAAGATGCTTTGTATTAACCCGAGGAACTGTGTTTTGACAGGAATATTTCCTTCGAAGGACCAAGAGAAATACCCTGCTTATATCCCCCAGGACCTCCTTTCAAACTTAGAACGCTCCACTGACAGCGGTGGACTATGTGGTAGTCTTTGGATTCGCACTTGGTATGGCCACAAGAATGACAAGGCCAGCCAAGATGCGGCGGATCTGGCTCACCAACGACTTTGGGAGGCATCCATTTATGAAGAAGGGGACGACGATCCACCAACCGATGATTTCGATAACCCAATATCTGTGTTCGATAATAGAGAGGAGTTTGCCGCTCTTTATACTCTTTACGGGGGCGGGGATGAGGATGAAGTAGAGGGTGAGATAAAAAATAGACTTTATGTAGCTCCCGCTGAAGTGGTTCCTACCCCATATATTGATGCGTTGTCCTGATACACTGGACGGTGAGTCAGACGATCCATGGCGTCATGAGCCTTGCCCAGTGTATCTATATGGAGGGCTAGAAAAGGAACAGGGACTTCTTGTTCTTATTGCTAATCGAAAGGCATGTATGGCTGGGTCCTGTATCTCGCGATTAATCATCGGGGCGAGATTCTACCATATCGAACTAAAAACAAAGCTTGTTATATAGCGGTAGATCTCGCAAATTAGCCTGATAGCCAGCAGCTAGCCGAAGGGCTGAAGGAAGAAGAGCTTGTAGAGTTCTATGTTCGTGGCGGCGATGGCTAGGCAAACAATTAGTCAACTAGGAATATGCTAGTTAGTTAGCTGTAATTTTTAATTTATAAGTATGATGAAAAAAAAAATCCGAGTAACACCCTTTAGTTAATTCCTACAATATAAGCTCTAAACTTGTGGCATATGCCCTACTTTGAAGCTGTTATTTGCATATAGATATAATTCCGCAAAGAGTAGGTATACTCTAAATAGTACCCTTATGCCATCCTAGCCATCTATTGGAATATTAAGCTCAGCTCCACCTTCTAGGAGTTTCACTTCTACAGTGATATATACTAGCACTGAGGGTGTTATAAAATAGACTCAATATAGATAGAAAAGAACACGCTTACTCTTGGTATTAAATAAATCATCTGTTGTAGCTCTTTATTTCTTTTCCTTTTTCCTATCACAGTACTATTTTTAAATACAACATTGCACCTAGTAAAGCGAATTAGGGCACATATCACACCATGGGTAAGTTCAGAGGGGGGGAGTATTCTTAACTTACTCCGCAATCCTAATGTATCGGCCTCCCGCGTCTCCCCACAATTCGTTATACCTCAAACGATCTTCAACTTTGAGAAAGCGTTGTGACTTGGCATTCTATATTTCCTGTTATCAAAGGTATTGATTGCGGCAACCACGATGTCTATGTCGTTTTTAGGACGTTTGCCGCTGGCGCCACCTTTCAGCTTATGGTTGAACACCTCATACGCTGAGCCCGTGGAGGTTGTAAGCGAATCCGAATTAAAAAGGTGGAAAGTAAATGACTTTTCACTATTAAGTTCCCAGTTCCATGCTGAATCCTTATTCGGGTTGCGCGCGCGGCCCACCGCTCCGGAGGCTCGCCAGTTGTCTGGCCAAGATTTAAATGCTGCTCGAGCTTGTCCTTGGCTGTCCGTCCAGGTCACTTCTTGCTCCACGAATCGAGGCAATATGTTCACGTTCGACTGTATAGTCTGTTGGTATCCAGGAACGCAGTCAACTTGGGCACCCGCGCCGCCTTCCTTTAGTGAGTTAAAAGGAAACTTATCGCAACTAAGCCAATTCTCGTTCCCATTTACGCCACGCGGCTTTTGGGCTAGATCATCGAAAATATTTGATTGCCGCCCACACCGCTGGGCTCAACTCTCGGTGATCGCTATTGCCTGGTTTATGTTGACATCAATAGTCTCATAGGAATGCCAGGAACCGCTGCCGCGGACCACATATCCGTTGGCTCCTTCTGATGAGCCTCCTGCGTCACTGTAAGTTGCCTGAAAAGGGCCTGCCTTTGCCTACCAAGGGACCAACTTCAGTTAGCACCGGGCCAACGAGCACATACAGTTGGGAACAGGCCCCCGAACTCTATCACCAGCTCAATAAATTTCACCATGAGCTGGCTATTCCCGACAGATCAACCTAATATTTCCGTCGTATCGGCTGTGATACCATCCAATCGAATGATTGCCGCTATGAGAGAACGTATAACTTCTGTCCCTCCAACTCGGAGAATAATTCGACCCTATGGGACGAAGGCCTTGAGGAAGACGAATACCACCTCCACTCTTGAGATCTTCCATATGAATGTTTAGACAAATATTAGGATCCCTACTGCTTCCCTAGACCCACAGACCCCATCCTTCCAAGCCCAACAACTATTCCTTCGTCGTACTATCCGACTGTCACCACCATCTTAGAATAGTGGGTAGAACCACCGGCCCCAACGCAGACCGGCTCTCCGGACAGTGTAGCGAGTGGCACATTGTCAAACAAGGTGATACCTGCGCAGCAATCGAGGCGAGGTACAAAACAAACGATGCCAAGCTCCATCAGTATAATCCCCGCCTTAATAAGAAGTGTACCAATCTTATGGCAAGAAGGTAAGAGCATGAATTTTCTTTTTTTTCACCCCTATGCATAGACTACCCCATAGGAGAGACATGTGAATCAATTGCGGCGAAATACGGTATTATCCACCGCCGCTTTCGTCAGCTCAACAGGGGAGTCAACTAAGAGTGTAGCAATTTAGCTGTGGGATATGCTTATTGCGTTGGCTAACAACATAATAACTGGGCTATCACATCTGCAATTTGCCGTTTCGAACGCAGAGTATAAGTAACAAGGGGTCCCCGAGGCGTTTATTTAAATAGTTAGGATATAGATAACTACAGGTTATGAATAAGCCGAGCCTGGTGTCGTTCTTATAATTTTGTGGATGATAAAGGATGGTATGTTTAGTGATATTGATAGTTGTTGACGTTAAAGTTGACTTTGAAGAGTAGATATCACGTGGGCGGCTGACTCAGCTAAACATCCCGTCTTCTTGGTATATCATTAAAGCGGCGAGAAGAGCCAAATATATTATCAGGCGCTAGCGGGTACGCCTTACTCAATCCGGTACATTATACCGAATCGGGGAATTGGTGAGGTCCAGGAATACGGAGTACTCCATCCCGAGAATGTAAGTATAAAAACAGAGAAAAAGGTTAACTAACTAAGCTTTTAAGGTTGAGAAAAGCTTCCAACAGGAACATGGACTTTAGTTAACCTTATGTTTTATCAACCGATAGAAAACATCTATATTCTTTGTGTATCTCGAGTTTAATGCCGCAGGTAGTTATCGATGAAAACACCACGATCTAGAATTGCAAGTTGACATCCGCCCCAAATTCAGCCAGGATCCCTACTATCGATGCATGCCGGTTCTGAATAGCGAGGTGTATGGGATTTAACCCAGCTTCGTCCGCTGACGAGATTGTTACCGCCGCGCCATGTTGCAAAAGCAAACGCGCTGCCTTCTCGTGCCCCAGAAGCGCTGCGAGATGGAGCGGCGTGCGCCTACCTCCGTCCAGTGATCTAACATCGGCCCCGTGTTCTAGTAACACAGATATCATCTTTTCGTCGTTCAGGATGACTGCGTGATGTAGAAGCGATCGGCTGTGTGATTGATGAGGATTTCGGTTAGCGCTAGGCCTGGCCTCCGGGATAGAGAAGTCATCTAGACTGAATTCAACAGCCTGATCCGGTGAAAGTAGTGCCTTTAAGGGAAAAAGGAGAAAGGAATTAGTTCTTGGATTCCAAATGATGAAGTCTGTATAAGCCTTACATCAGACTGAAGGTTTTTGGGCTGAAGGTTTGGTAGTGGAATCTCTCCGCAACTTAAGCGTGCGGGATCTTCAGTGCTATCCTGGGCATCGCCTACGGAAAATGGAGAAATAGGGCCACCGCTGCGTGGCGTGGGAGGCAGCACGGCTTGGATATCAATCATCTGGAGAAAATTGTCTGGTGGCGTGGGCATCAAGGAAGAGATAGAGCGGTTGTCAGCACTAGAGGAAGGTGTTGCTTGGCCATCACCGTGGTTCTGCCTTGTTTCCAGGCCGTACAGCTCGCATTTGAGACGGTCGAGTTCCTCTAGTCGTTCTTTGACCAATTTCCCTGCTCCCGGAAGTAAGATACCTTATTATTCTTTTATACTTAGCACCAACGGCAAAGGCAGTAGAAACTCACGGTGATTACGCTGCGCCTGTCTATTCTTCGCCCGTCTCTGGTTCTCCTTACAGAGCTGAACTTGACTGGAGTCCCGTAACTCTGGGAATCTGCGGTTTGGAAGCCTAGATGGTCGTGTCGCCATAGCTATATCAGAAGGCTTACCTCTCATTTTAGGTATGGGGGTATTAGTACCGACTGTGTCCCGTCTATATATATATGCTCCACGATCTGATACCTAGTTACTAGGTGTAGGGTGATAAGATAACCAGGTAGCCCACACGTGGGCCTCTTGTATCAGGGACCAGGGGTATGATATTCAGTAGTTGATTCCTTGGTGCAGCAGAATCTCCGCAATAGATGTTCAATACCGTCGGAATAACAGTATGCTCCAGCCTTACGGGCATTTAATGGACGGGCATTGTATACATATTTATAATCAAGATATACACCTAATAACTAACAGTGGGATAACTTGGTGAGGTTCAGGCAGACTGTAGGTTACGCAGGTAGTTATTAAATCCTTCGGATGTTCATGGAGAGCTGTCACGCCAGATAGTATCAGTATGCACCAAGCGAGCCGTGGTGACTGTGCATAATAATGCGGTGTCTATCGACTAGGTAGATAGGTACATCTACGTATGTAACTGGGGCTTAGACCCTGGTGTACCGAAAATATTTTAACGATCAGATTATCCGAGAATTCACTTTTGTGCTCACTGCTGCTCCAAATACCCAAAATTTGCAGATATATATATCATCATCATTGATATTTATGCCCTGTCGTTGCATCCTCTGCGCCAAGCCAACACAGCATGCATTATTAGCCTTTGCAACCCATGTACTATCCCTACACAATCACCGAGAGTGGTCCCCGATTCCTGACCCAGCGGTCAACATCCCAGCGTCCTGAGTATGTATTTCCAGCTCAGTTACCTCACCACTCACCAAGTTGGTCCCGGGCCAAAGGGGAAGGGGGAGAGTGGAAGGGTCAATATATAAATATGGCCAATATCTGTGCTGCCAATGAGAGCGGTATCACCATTTTAGGCCGAATGGCACATCTTTGACAGAAATCTACAAGCCATTAGCCAAATACTTACATTCGGTTTCCCACATGTCTAACACGTTCGAGCGGGAGCCAAAGTCGGTAACCATACCGAGCTTTCAGTTGGAGAATCATACGGTCCTAAAGAATGTGCGAGTTGTTTATCATTGTTGGGGCTATCTCTCTGCAGAGCGTAATAACTGCCTGGTTGTTTGCCACCCATCCTCTCTCGGCACGGATGTTTCATCTTGGTGGACGCCTCTTTTAGGCGGATTTGGACACGCCCTTGATACAAGCAGGTACTTCATCATTTGCATGAACGTTTTAGGAAGCCCGTTTGGAAGTACAAGCCCCCTTACCGCAGTGGGAGATATCCAGGGGGCGAAATTCCCATTAACAACAATTCGTGATGACGTCAGGTTAGTTGGTTAGCTAGTTTGAGCTGATACGGTCTAGATGACTAGTTAATGGGAAGAAAATGTGGCGTTTCGCTAACTGGCATTTGTAAAACTAGAATTCATCGCCTGGTTCTGGAAACCCTCGATGTTCGACAGGTGTGTATGGTGATTGGGCACTCTATGGGCGGAATGCATGCATTAGAATGGGCATTTCACGGTGCCTTCGTCCAGTCAATAGTCCCCGTCGCCACTACCGGTACACAGAGTGGCTGGGGAATAGGGTGGTCAGAAGCACAGAGACAGAATATCTTTAGTGACCGGAACTACCAGAGTGGAGAGTATCATCACAGAGCACCACCAGTCCAAGGACTCAGGGCGGCGCGGATGGCCGCATTGCTTATCCGCCGCAGCAAGTATTCAGCCGACACGTTTATTACACAGGGTCCTCGGTGCAGTCCATCGGCCGACGAGCGGGGTCCGATGTTGGTTCTGGAGAGCTCCGTCTCGCCCACTAGACATTCTACCTTCAGCACAAAGGCAATGTTGGCATTATACCAGGAAAGCGAAGATTTCGCACGCCAATTCGATGCAAATTGCTATATCGCCCTGACAAGAAAGACCGACACACATGATGTTGGCCGTGGACGCTCTCGAGACCAGTCAGCGCGTCAGGCACTCAAGTCAATCATCCAGCCCGTGCTCATTATAGGAGTAGAATCTGACTTGTTGCATCCGATTCAAGAGCAGCAGGAGCTGGCAGACGCAATCCCAAACTCGAAATTACGCATAATTGAAAGCGCTGAAGGCCATGATACAGTCTTGTTTAGGGCATCTACACGTTTGAACTACCTTATCATCTCTTTCCAACGGGAAGTTATCCCGCATATTTACTCGTGATTGGCAGGAGAAACGAGAAGATTATTGAAAGGAAGAAAATGTCATACTATGTAAGACGTTATACTTTGATATTTCTATGTTGCTATTAGGTTTACAAGGATACATCCCTGGCCACTTTATAGCTCCCTTACTATGTAATCCCAATACGCGGCTGTGGTAGCGCTGTATTAAAAATCAACATGATTGTGCTCTTGTGGACGAGGCTGGGGTTTAACAGAAAGCAAAAACTAATTCTGGAAAGTCAAATGCATAAATTGTATACAGTAGGCCTGGAAGTGTCAAGGGTACGGGCCGTCTTTACCCTGATTTTCTGAATCCTATCCGGCCAGACTTGCAGACATGGACCCCTGGTACTGTGTATGAACGTTCTCCTTTGACATGTCTGTGATGATGTACTCCATATGTTTTACGTACATACATTGTAGTATACGAAGCATGGACAAACTCTCTAGCCTAAGTCAGGCCCGTCCAAAATACATATTGAAGTACGGAGTACTCCGTAGACATGTAGGTGATCGCACTGGAATTCGTTGGTAGCCCTTGAAAACTTTTGCTCACGTAGTTATAACTACCTAGGACAGGCCGCTCTATCATCTTCAAAACCAAAGATCCGCCATAGAGCACAAGGTACTGAAGATACCGACATGAACAGCTTTTTCCCGATATCGCTACCTTAACCCCTTATGCCGTAGCGCCCCATGACTCGCGCCGCACGCCGCCAGGGCCTAGTATCCTCAGAGTTCGACAAGCAACAAGGGATGATCCTTCCACCTCGCCGGGTTGTCATCAAGGGTTCTCCTCCTATCGATACTCTTGCCCATCAGCTCCGTGGCCCGCTTCATGCACTTGTTCATATTAGTTTCATCTCATATACATCGCTCTGGCAAGAATTCCGCGGCCATGTTGTCGGGAGCATCACGGACGTCCTTAATCACCCTCCGCAGGACTTCGCAATCAGATTATATAAGAAAGACGCCAAGACGAAAGTGGAAAACCAACTCGACCACGCCAAGACTTGCCTAGTTAGGAAGTATCTCAACATCAAGATGGACTAAAAGGAGAACAAAATGGAGATATACAGATACGCACTATGCAGTCATGAATACTGGATAAAGTACTTGGAGCTCTGAGTATAACAGCTGAGGCGGGTTTATGTTCATGGTCGTGAGTCGTGTATACCCACAGAATATACAGATAACCATGGCACAAATCGATGAAGTGTCTGGCTCATGCACGGTGTAGCCGCCTGCTCCAGCTCATATGCAGTACATGCTAGAGTCAGCTCATTCTCTACTCTGCATATGCTATCACCCTGATGAGGAAAGAAGCAAGATGTTGACAATGGCTGCAACTTCCCATGAGACAGGAACAATGGAGATAAATATTCATCTCTCCACGATGCTTGTTTATACCATTTAACACAACATTCGTTATCATACCCAGCAGTCCACTCGCTCACGTCTTGTATCTTAGTGCTTCCATCTACAACTTCAGATCATTCGTTTCTGATACCACACTCTTTTACAGACATATTTCTTCTTTACTACAGTCAAAATGAGCGCAGATTCAGGATATGGCAGCATCGGGTCCTCGTCAAGTATTAGAGTACGATTACCCCTCAAGGAACAAGGCTACTATTCAGCCCTTGAGAATTACCTTTCTTCCTCGACAAACTCTCCAAGTCCTGCATCATTCACCACTTCCAGCACCAAGCTCTCAGCCTTTGTATCTTCAGCCGAAAATCCACCGGAATGTGTCAGGGATGAGACTGTTCAGGCTCGCAAAGAAGCCAAAGAGCTCCTCGCCATCTACCGCACAACCCTGGTCGAGCTGGAGATAAGACGCATCAGCTCCTCTCGCAAGGGACTGCAGAAATGGGTCGAGTACTGGAACGACACCTATCAACCCCATTTTTCAGGCCCTCTCTGTCAAAAAATTCAACTTGCGAGCCCAGAAATCAACCGTACCTTCAAAGAGGCATCACAGGATATCTATCAGATCATCGATGAAGTGGAGGAGACTATCTCTACCTTGCCTCACCCATATCAAATCAGGGACCAAATGGCATGTATGAGGAGCCGTATTCGTCGAGTGGTTGGGGAAAGGCAGATGCGAGCCGGCCAGCTAATGGAATGGTTGAGATGTGATATCGAAGCTACACCCATCGATATCCACGACAAAATGTTTGATAGGTTGAAGAAGCAGGTCTACGGCCTTGATCCATCGGGACACTATCATCCTAGTCCTGAAGAGCCAGACTCTGCTGACGAAGAGGAGGAACCTCAAGAGTCAATTGAGGAACGACTTCGGCAGCAGCTTGGTCTTTTGAATATGACGACTCTTCCTGATAGCCTGAGACAAGTACTAGCAATGGATAATGTGACGAGCCACTGGACTCATAATAACCAGGAACTGACTATCGTTATTGATAATCCAGGGGAAGTTGTGTGAGCCATGTCCTGGGTCATTGGACCATCGTTCGTTTTATTTTGCTGTATCAGCGTTTGTTCTGTGAGTTGGTTCTCTGACCAGTGTTATGATTGTCGGTGTCATTCTTTACGATATTTGTTCTAAGGATGGTAGAATACACTCCTTTGGCATATTAACTGCGCAATAATGGTAGACCACGCAATGAGACTAACATTGAAAGATTTTATCATCCTAACTAAAATCCCATAACTGTCGAATCAAATGCCCTGGTTCTGTATCTTCCTCTCTCCCCTCCAATCCACGGTCAGTAAATATCCTTTTGGGGATCTGAAACTCCACTACGGGAGCTTTCTTGAATACCTTCTCCTCCTTACCCAGCTCTGTATCCAACATAGCCTGGTAAGAAAGATCCAAAAAGTCCTCAACATTATACTGCTGTTTCGTGAATTGTTCCGAAATTATCCTAGCCAAAGCCGCAGTATTAGGATGATAATGAGACTGTAAGGTCTCAATCTCCCACAGACTGCTCTCTATAGCATTGGTGAGGGTAGGGTTGGGTTCATACGCATCGAACGGATCATCCATACCCTCCTCTTCTATTTCCTTGTATAGCGATGGATCATGTTTCTTTAAATCCCGATGAATCATAAACGTACATGTAGGATGGGATCTGAGTATATTATATATCCAAGGAACGATCACCACGATCGCTGCTGGAGGTGCGTTGAGAGCCAGTCGTGAAAGACGCTTGATGAAGCTCGCTACCAGCGTGGCGGGCAGATGCGATGAAGCAAGGAAAGTGTCTAGCAGCCTGAAGAACCGGGACCGGTGCTTGGAGTGCAGTACATCCCTGTCTAAGAGGGAGTATAGTTTAGTGTAGAATTGTGGGTAATCCAGGTTCTTCTCTTGGATCAGGTAGAAGAGGCCTGATAGAGCGAGGAGCGAGGTTGATCCTCCTTCGTTGTAGCAGTCGGTTAAAAAGTCCATGAGAAGCTCTGGTTTTGCAAACCAGGGTACGACAACATGCGACATTATGCGCAGAAGGTGTTTTCGTTGGGATTTGGTCATTTCGTTACGAAGCACCGCTAGCCAGGTGGTTTGGACGCGGATTTTGAAGGAGTTTTCGGACACGAATGGGCCTTTGTTCTTCTGGCTTATCTTGGAGGTGTCGGTGTATATGTTCTCGAATCGCTCTTGGAGGTTTGTGGGCTGGCCAAGGTTGGAGAGCAGGTCAACTATGTTGTCCAGTGTTTCTGCGTCTCTTTGTTCGGATAGGTAGTTTCTAATTGCAATGCTGTTAGCTTGTATACATTATATTTGTTAATCAAAGTATAGAAACGTACGCAAGTCGCAGGATGGTGTAGACTGTAATATCATGGTACTTCTGGAAAAAGTTCTCCATGAAATACACCCTGACTTTATCATTGCCTGGGTTGATCACGGCAGCCAGTATATCATCGAAGAAACCACCGGTCCATACATTAATATCCGATCCCGTATAGTATGCAATTTGTTCTTTTATCAACTGCATAGCCAAGCTGAGAGTTGCAATCTATCCATTGCATGTTAGCATTTATATGTAAGAACAGCACCAGAATTAAATATCGTTCATACCTTCTGCGAAGGCTCTCCGCCCCTCAAGATCGTAAGTAAAGATTGCTTGTATTCCCGGTATCTTTCTTTCAACCAGGCGACCAGTATCGATTCTTGCTCCGATGCGCCCTGGGGCATATTCAATTGCCCGCCAGCCAACAACCGACAGAAGACCCTGCAAAGGGAAATCGCAACGGCTTTCCTGCTAGGTTTGTCCGCATCTACATCGTCAAGCTTCGAGAGCAGAGTCACAATATTATTATAATATTTCCGGGATTCAGCAATCTGGTCTTCAAGCTCTTGGATCTGTTCTGCCTCTGGCCTGCCGTTCTTCTCTTCTACCGCTCTCCGCTTCATTGACCGTCGACTCGCGTCTGCATCGCCCTTCTTCCGCTCCTTCGAGCTCTTCAGCTCGGTATCAACCGCCGGCGACATCGTGGATGCGTGCTTGTTCAAAATTTATATCACTTTCCACCACTTTTTTTCTTCACTTATCAAAGTCGCTTTTTCCACCATATACGCACTAGTCCTCTTTCGGCTAGCGCCCTGAATCACCCGAACTTCAATCTTCCCAAACTGCAAATCGAAACCTCAATCACAACGTTCAAGTCCATCACCGCCATCACAACTCCAACGCTCACTACAATGGCGTCACGGTTGGCTAAGAGCGCCATCGGTATGTTATACCGATACTCCAGCAATGATTCCTATCGCCATTGAAACCCGCATGATGCTAATTGGACTCTGTTCAGGCGCCGCTCGTATCCGTCCTTCGGTTCTTCCACGATCTGTCCCAGCGCTCACCAGCGTCACTCCAGCGCGATACGCCTCTAACGTGCCTACCGAGGACCCAAAGAGCAAGGCCCAATCCATCGTCGATGCTCTGCCCGGTAACTCGCTCGTTTCCAAGACCGCAATTCTCTCCGGTGCCGCTGGTCTCTCCATTGCCGCTATCAGCAACGAGCTTTACATCCTGAACGAGGAGTCCGTCGTCGCCTTCTGTCTGCTCAGTGTCTTCTACGCTGCTTTCAAGCTCGGTGGACCCGGCTACAAGGAGTGGGCTGCTACTCAGATTCAGAAGCAGAAGGATATCCTCAACTCCGCTCGTGCCGACCACACAAATGCCGTCAAGCAGAGAATCGAGAACGTTAAGCCCCTGGGCGGTGTTGTTGATGTCACCAAGCAGCTTTTCGAGGTCTCCAAGGTACGAATCCGCGTGGAATTCGATGGATTTAGTTTAGTTTTGATGGAATTGAGCCTTGGCCCTTTTTATTCTAACTTTTGATATGAAATAGGAATCCGCCCGCTTGGAGGCTCAGGCTTTCGAGCTGGAGCAGCGAACTGCTCTTGCCGCCGAGGCTAAGAAGGTCCTTGAGTCCTGGATTTCATACGAGAGCCAGGTCAAGCAGCGTGAACAGCGCGAGCTCGCTGAGTCTGTTATCGCCAAGATCCAGAAAGAGCTGCAGAACCCCAAGATGCTGCAGCAAGTCCTGCAACAATCCGTTACCGACGTTGAGAGTAAGTCCCCTCTTTCACGTATATATCATTACTCCTTTTGTGACCTGCTGGCTGATTCCTCTTTCTACAGGGATTGTTGCCTCAAAGGCCCAATAGATAGGATATGCTTATTTTTGCCTGCTTAGGCCACAGGTGTGGGCAGAATATTTGTCAATTTAGTGTACAAAATCAAATAGAAAGAGTCGCAATTCTGTGCCAGTATTTTTCTTTTTAAACATTTTTATTCCTTTTCTGCTTTTCTCCCCCACCCCCTATATACTATACAAAAATATGATATAAAAATAATATATACATGCTTCAATCGTGCTTGAGCTTTGATAAAATAAAAATAAAATATAAAAAAGCAAATAAAAAATACAATCATAATCCTTATGTTTTTTTTTTTTTTTTTTTTTCTGATTTTTCTTCCTCTGTGGTTCTCACGCTGCTCAGGTGGCTGAGCAGCCCCTTCTGACGCCTGTAGAAGGCTAAGGGCTAACGATAGGGGCGGAGGAGCTGAGAAGGGGTGATCGCCCGTTCTTCTCTGGGCGGCAGGAGACGAACGAACGCATCGTCGGGGAGGGCTTGGAGTGGGGGAACCGGGACAGGGTAGACAAGACGGGCCAGCTCGCGGATGCGAGGGCGGTCAGCTTTGGTCGTTGTCATTCCGGCTAACACGCAGCCGTGCAAGTCTTCGCTGTATGCTTCGTCGACACCACCCATGGGATTTGCTCCGGACCAGGAAACCATAGACAAGCATTGAATCACAGTGGTGGCAGAAAAGACATCACTGCGTGGGCTACAGTTCGGGAATTCGGGAGCCATCCATCCTTCGGTGCCGGAGGTAGCATAGGGAAGCTTCAGATCTTTCTTGGAGACGCTCATTCCGAAGTCGCCTAATTTGATGATGGGATATTCTCCAGCGACGTCTGGGGATTTGATGAAGATGTTGTCGAGCTTGATATCACGATGCAAGATTGCGTTCCACCCATTCTTATCTGGCACGTTCTCGTTGACAATCTCCCTGTCGTTGCGAAGTCCAGTGTGCATGTAGCTGAGTGCACGTATCAATTGTCTAAAGACATGCCAAAGGAACGATTCAGGGATAGGGGTGCCAGAAGATACCATCCACCGTTTGAAATAAGCCAAGGTACCGAGATCGCAGAACTCGATGAAGATTTCGCCCTTGCTCGGGCTGATGGATGCTTCAAGATATTTTTCGACATTCGGGTGATCCATGGCACGGATGGCTTTCACCTCTCTCAACCACCGCCTCGGCTTAGCCTTGCTACAGATCAAAAAACTCTTGCGGATACACACGTAGCCATCTGCTTTGCGTTTGACGATATCGATGGCCTTGTTGTACCCTCCGCTGTAAGGGCGGAGTTCAACCACTACGTTGTATTTGTGTTCAAGGTTGTGGTGAACAATCTCTTCGTACTCAGGATAAGCACCTTCCAATGCTTGCAATGACTCTAGGCGAGTACGGAAGGCCTCAGCCTCGATGGCACGTCTCACTCTGTCAGAAGTAGACATTTCTGCTGCTGCGTTAAGCAAGAGACTGTTCACAGGAGATACACTGGTGTCTAGTGTTCAAGTTAGCCACAGACCCAGCTGCTTCAGAACACGCGTGTTTCCTTACCTTTTGACGCGTAAAACGGCTCTTCTATCCTTATAGAGAGCTTTTTGATGATATCCTTTGCCGAGTCTATGACTTGGCTATCGACACGTTAGCAAGGAACTACAGGTTCGGTGGGAGAGACAAAGACAAGAGCTGGTATACAAGAATCAAAATGAGTTACTTACCAGCTTAAAAAGATGAGAAATAGCAAAAGAAAGAAAAAAACTGATGAGACTGGTCAGGATATGATTGTAGGCTAGAGACAAGCTGTTCTCTGTGACAAAAAGGACTACTTGGCTGGACAGTGAACCTCCAGTAGCCAGAGAGAGACAGCAGCAGCTACAAAGATGATGTTAACTGATGATATATTGATGAAAAAGGGGCTGTCTGCTAGAAGAGAGACAAGACTTACCAGCCTGAACAAACGTGAGGGCCCTCTCCCAGAGGACAGAGAGTGCAAAGATCTTTCAAGAAGAGTTGAGGTTGGAGAAGTTGCTTTTATAGTAGTCAGAACTGTGGTGAGCACGTGCTTTGTGAAGCCCTGATTGTGATATGAGAAGTTGAAGCTGAAGCTGGAGAGAAGAAGAAGAATAATAAAAAAACAAGAAGAAGAGGGAAAAGAAGAAGAATTTATAGGCAAACAGGGAGGACATCCCACTTGCCATAACAGGACTGACTCGTCTTCACTCCCTCTCGGCGTTGACTCTTCCTCAAGCCAGCGGCGACGGGTTGATATACAGACAGTGACAGGCAGATACTGAATACATTGTTATAGCACATTGACAGGCATCATGGCTATAATCAATGGATGGCATAGTGAAGACCAGGTATAGTCAGTCCATTGGTCCATTGTGCTAGGTTCTAACAGTTCATTATTCATTTAGAGTAGTCAATGGTCAGTGGTATCTCTTGTGGTATCTCCTCATGTTTAAGGCATATATCTTGCTGATATTTCATCTCTAGAATGAGCATGGCAAGAGCCTGCTCGGATATTGAGTATATGGCCGGCTCGCGTTCGAGTGCCGGCTTTATCAATATGCACAGTAATATTAGGGGCATACCACGGAGAGCTTGACATGGTCAGCGCTAGGTGGAACGCCATAGGGGGACTGGTACAGCATCCTAGCCTATCGACTTAGCCGACACGATGCAGGGAAGCAGAGTTGGGTATAAAGATGATATATTTTAAATTTCCGCACTCCTCCAATAGAACCACCTGAAACACGAAACTGATATAGGAATTACGCGCCCATCACCCTAGACATTCCCCGCCCTTCGCCAGCAATTGTTTCGATGCAAAGGCCCTCCATGGGCAATTATTTGACGACGACGAGCCTGAGCCCTCGATGGCTTGTAGTCAAAGATCAGACAACCCGGAAAAACGACGATCAACCGCAAACTCAATCGTCCAACCAATAGTAAACAATTTGGTATCAGCGAAATATGACTTCACCCAACGTCGATAACGGACTATCAAGTGAATAGCATCTGCGGTCAACCAGAGCGTGATGATCGACCTCACAGGACACTGCTCGCCGTAGCAGGTAGAGACTGTTGTGCGGCTCAACGAAATGGGCATGTTTTATATCAAGTAGTGAACAAATAGTAATAACTGCTTAACCAATGATCCTGGCATGTTCTCCACCGTAGGCTGTGTAATTTTAATTGGCCTTGACTTTGGCTCTGCCGCTGAGATGATGCTTGGGCTGTGTCGGTCTGAGGCTTACGCGCCCTGGGCAATCTAATCAGCCATCCTGCACAGAGAATATAAATATCACCATGGAGCAGGATCCAGGACCTTCTTTATTCCCTGAATATAAACTGACTAGATACAGAGTATAGTCAGAGTTGAAGTGCAGAGAGAGATAACTTACATACGAAGCAGCGCCAGCGCATATCACAGATATCAAATATGCCGTTATTAAAGCTTCACAAGAAGCGCGAAAAGGACGATGAGCCCAAACTCCCTCCAGCACACGCTTCAGAACCTCCTGAATTCCGCATAATACGCTCAGATACGCACACTGAAGAGACAATCGATGCTCCTGCGTTCCAGTTGGTAGAAAACCCAACCTCCCCGCGCAAATCCTTTGGCTTCTTCCGCCGCTCTATAGACACTTCGCCCAACAGCCGCAGCAGCCAGGACTCACACTCGCCGCGAGAGAGTCGGCTTTCACGACTACATATTGGCCGTCGATCGAGGTCTGGGAGTTCCTCATCTGTTGTGCTGCCAGAGAATCTGCCGGAGATTGAGAATGATGTCGCAGATGACCAGGAGAGGGAAGCACAGTGGGAGAAGCGGGCGACGGTCTTGGTGCAGAGAGGATCGCGTTCTTCCTTGTCGCCTGGCTTGCAGCAGGGGAGGTCAAGGAGCTCAAGCGTAGGCAAAGTAAACGATCCAGAGGGAGACGTATGTTCTACTATACTTCCTTTTACCGGTAAAAGCCGTGCTGACTCGCACAGGAAACTATACAAGAGGCAATACGACTACATGAAGCGGGAGGTAAGTTGGACACTGGGATAAGTGTATCGAACCCCCAAATTGACTAACTCTTGAATCAGATCTAGAAAAGTCGACACATATCTTTGGAAAGCTGGCTGATCCCCACGGACAGAATAATGCCTTGAGTCAAGTCCTCTTTGGCCTAGCATTAAGGTCAGTTAACTATACGACTCTGAGGCTGAAGACGTAATCTGACAATCTACCGCAGACACGGCTGGGGCTGCGAACCTAACGCCGAAATGGCAGTCCAATACCTTAGCGCTGCAGCTTCAAACTCCGCTTCTATTGAAGAAGAGGCCCTCCGTGCTGGCATGAAGAAAGGAGGCGCTGCCAAGGGTGAGCTGGTACTGGCTATCTATGAACTGGCGAACTGCTACCGCAACGGATGGGGTGTGGCTAAAGACCCAGCTGCGGCAAGGCAGTATTACGAAACTGCTGCCAATCTCGGAGACACAGATGCTATGAATGAGGTCGGTTGGTGTTATCTTGAAGGTTTTGGCGGGAAGAAAGACAAGGTACGTTTCTTATATCTATGTGGATGGATGATGGTAAGATTGCTAATGGCTCTATCCAGTTTACTGCCGCGAAATATTATAGGCTCGCGGAAGAGAATGGAAATAAGACACTTGGGAATTCCTGGTATGTTGCTCTCCGAATTGTTAGTTGGTTGGGGTACTGACGATATGACTATAGGATCTGGAAGGACAAATATAATCCAAAATGATGCATGTGCCCGGTAGCCAGTGATGTCTCCTTTACTTAGAACTACGCAGCGGCGCGCGATTTTATCTCTTAAGCTTCTTAATATACCCTCCCCGATTGGATTTTAACACCATAATGACAACCATAATGAAGATAGTAATAAAGTGACCATGTTCTTGCAATTAAATGAACTCCATGTAAATGATTATACTAGTTCATGATATACAAACCAAGAAAGTCGCAAAAGCCAGTCTTGAACGTAATCCCGCTAACCAACCAGCCAAAAAAAAGGAAAAAAATAGAAAGATAAGCGAGAGAGACTCCCAACCATGAATGATGAAAACGGCAGTGTTGAGATTAGTTATTCTGTTGGGCCTTCAACATAGCTGCTAGCCGTTTGTAATCTTCCAGTAATTCAGGTATATCCCCTACCTTTAACTCAGAGACATCTCCCATATCCAAGAATTTCTGAATACCAGGGCCCACTTTGGTGGGAGAAGGACCTGATGGTTTGTTACTGGTGCTGGTACTAGGAGGCGCTAGAGGGGGATCAGGCGCGCGAGCTAGGCCACGGATCATATTAGGGAAATGGCTAAGAGGGTTCAGAGAGGTCCCAAACCCTCTGACAGATCCAAACCCTTGGCTTGCAGTAGCGGCGCTAGATGAAGCCTGCGGAGTGGAAGTGGAAGTAGGAGCGGCGGTGCCGTCTGACCCCTTTGTATCGGATCTGCTGGTGCTTGAGTCGCGTTTAGGGAGACCCGGTCGTCTTCGACCACCCACCAGTTCAGCCAACCGGTCATCAAGAGCTTGCCTGGAAGAAATAGAAGGCGTAGGCGTAGGCGTCCGGTCTCCCCTCATCGATCCTTCTTCACTCATGGCCTCGTCAGGCGGCACGGTACCGGCTTTGACCTGCACGAGTTTCCGGGCATCATCAAGGGTCTTAGGAACAATAGGTGTGCCATGCTGCGCATTTTCTCCCTGGGATATCTGGACTTCCCTTAACCTTCCGAATAAGAATGTGAAGCTGTTATCCAGGGTACTGCTAATGCTCTTTAGGCCCTGGTCTGCAGTATTTCGTACAATGTCATTTGCTGCTCCCAATGCCTTTGCTGGGGGTTGAAATAAGTCAGATAGCCGCTGTTGGGCAGAGGGATTGGTGGGTAGCGGAGGCCTCGTAGATGATGTCGTGTTAGTGCCACCGGAGACAGTAGACGGACTTTTCTCTAGAGGCTCGTTTGAGCTGGAATCCATGGTTGAAGGGTGGAGAAGGTTTATATCGGCCTGCTCGATAGGCGTCCGGCCTTCTTCCACACGAAGGTTTGTTAAATCGACATTCTCCAGGAAGTCGATGGCTGCTTCCAAGTTTGTGAGGCAATATGCAGTCTCACCATCAATTTTACTTGACGACCTGAATCTCCGTATGAAATTGAGGTTGCTAATGATATTGACCCCCTCCGGGGGTGAGAGGATAAGGGTATAGATTAAAGTAGGAAGAATCTCGTCTGCGGATGATGTTGATGGAAGAATATTCGTCAACGCGTCTACAATCGCTTTGTGTGCAGCTACAAGGTGCTGGAGTTTCCCGAGTGGGTATTTCTCATCATTCATCTGTATCAAGCACTGACGAGCTGCTGCAACGCACTCCTTTGGATCTGTCGTTTCTTCAGCGCCTTGCTTGGAAATGTCCACTCCAAGGTCCTTCAGTTCGATCCCCATCACCAACAACGCCGCCGTCTTAGAGCGTAGCTTTTCATCTCGAACGTCGTCTATAGTACTCCGGTGACGCCAGATCTTGTCATATATGGTTTCACACGCCCTCCGTTCAACAGCTTCTTCGAGCGCATGCTGTTTGAACTGGAGTAGCTTTCGAGCTTTGCGTTTTTCCGCAACTTCCTCAGCTGTGAGCATCTGTTGCTCAGGCGTGTCCTTTTGTGAGCCATGGGAGCTAGGTGGGCGTCTTGAAGCCCTTGACGCTTGTGACTGAAGAGAAGCCGCCGAGCTGTCGCGATGTAGCCGGGATGCTAGAGTAGAAACGTGCGTTGCGATATGAGAGTCAGCTTTGACGTAGAACTCTTGAAATAATTCCGAGAGCGTATCTATTGACGGAGGTGTGCTATACGTTTTCGCACTGAGAGAGGAGATGAACCTATAAGCACATAAGTATTAGCATATATGTAGAATACGGAGAGTGTATACATCTTCCTACCTGTCTGTCAGGCTGACCAGCTCTATGGGAAGCTCCGCGAATTGCTCCGGTAGCTCGACAGACGGCTGTCCGGCAGTTTGTTCTGGGTCCTCACCATCCCCGTGTGACAGCTCAGAATCTTTTTTTTCGAAAACATCTCCAGATTCCTCCACATCTCCAGCTCCAAGTACAGACAGCGGATCATCAACACCAGCTTGCAAAGCTTCCGTCGAATTAGTAGCTGTTGCGTCTATTCTTGAGAAAGGGCTGCTGTTCTCAAGACGACTGAACGAGCTGGAGCCCCCACGCTTCACCGGCTGGGATGAGGCGTGATCTTTCATTTCAGGCATCTTATCACGTAAACACGCAGCTGAGCTGTCTGAACCATGGACGTTCAGATGAAATTGATTAAACTCTGTCTCTCTCACGCGGATAAGTCGTTCGTGCTCAAAATGTTACACTTGGGCGTCAAGCAGGGCCTCACAGGATACTTCTGATGCTATACAGCACGGTCCACTTTGCCCCTTCACCATCCGCATCGGAATCAACGTCACTGTTAACCTGTCATTCTCCTAGTTTTTTTTATTTCGCTGTCTTCCCAGCTTGATATATCGATTTATCTACAAGGTTGATCCCAGAACGCGGCGCGGATCTCGGAGGAATGATCATCCACTAGGTCATGTGGGTCGCTTAGTCATTAATCTGGGGTGTCTCTTCTGTCGTCACTCAAAGGGTTCACTTGAACCTCAACATCATCATCCATCAGTATAAGGTCTTTCTTTTTTATTCTTATTACATATCTGCCGACTTATAAGTAGCAGATATCTATAGCAATCGACTGCTAAATCTGCATGATGTTGGACTCGTGACAAAAAGAGCTAGTTGAACCTGTTATTCCACCATGTGGCGGACAAGCATACTATTATTCCTACTCGTCCTCCAGTCATCATACGCCTCGGCTTCTCCTCACGATGGGTACGGAGCAGATCAGATAGCTCTTGTACCATCTAAAGACACTGGAGAAGATCCCAAGTCTCTCCGTACAACTCATCAATTTGTAGGTGGTATCCTCATTCACTTGTCATGGCGATTATGGTGTTGACCCAGAACAGTCACTTCGACATGTATTCCACCATGGAACGTACGAAAACCCCTTGCTACACCAACGCCTCGATGTCGGGCCTGATGCAGATCTATGGATGCAGTCAGAGGGTGGTGAGAGGATAGAACTACCGAATACCTTTGAGGCATCTGGACAACCAGTCAAGATCCAGCGACTTACCGATAGACGGCCAGAAATTGTGGAAAGCAGGCTTCAGGCAGCTCGAAACCCAGGCCTTGCGAGCTTTATACCTCCACCAGAATGGACGATAGATGATGTTTCGAGCCCCGATATCTCCGACAGACAGACTATCCTAAGCTTGGCAAAGATGACTGCCAACGCTTATATTCAGAAACCCGGTACTGCAGAATGGCTTAGCTTGGGGCAGCATAGCCCTTGGAAACACTCCAATAGGTTTGGCTGGGAAAATGACGGCCTTCGAGGGCATATATATGCCGACAAGGGCAACTCGACCATCATCATTGCATTGAAGGGTACCTCCGCTGCTCTATTTGATGGTGAGGAGACCACGACCAATGATAAGATTAACGACAACCTCTTTTTCAGTTGTTGCTGCGGCCAAGGCGGGCAGTACTTCTGGCGACAGGTCTGTGACTGTTATACGACTACATTTACGTGTAATATTACTTGTGTAGCCTCATCCCTTAGGTCGGAGAATCGGTACTACAGGGCGGCTCTAGACTTATTCGCTAATGTGACAGAGCTATATCCGACATCGAACGTGTGGATAACTGGCCATTCATTGGGCGGCGCGGTCTCGAGCATGCTTGGAAGAACCTATGGGCTCCCTGCCGTGACGTTCGAAGCCGTTCCAGAAGCGCTTCCTATTTCCCGCTTGGGGATACCTGTACCACCGGGAGGTGACCCGCTAGAGCCAGATGCTGACTATACTGGCTCCTTCCACTTCGGTCACACGGCCGATCCCGTCTACATGGGCACTTGTAACGGCGCAACGTCAATATGCACGCTCGGTGGCTATGCAATGGAATCCGCATGTTTCACCGGAAAGCGATGCGTGTACGATACTGTGCAAGATTTCGGTTGGCGTGTAGCTATCGGCACACACCGAATTGTCAATGTTATCAATGATGTGCTCAAGAAATACAAGACTGTGCCGACTTGCAAGCCGGACAAGGCATGTGTCGACTGCCCTAACTGGAAGTTCTTCCGAAGCAACGGCACCGAGCACACGACAACCAGAACGACCAGTACAACTATGACGGCCACGAGGACTTCAACCTGCAAAACTCCAGGTTGGTGGGGGTGCCTTGACGATACCACTAGCCAAACTACTCATACATCCACCTCCTCGTCGACTTCAACAAGCAGCACGTCTACCTGTAAGACGCCAGGATGGTTCTGGTGCAAGGACAAGAGCACTACGGAGACGAGTATAACAACAACACCCGGAACTACTTCCACCACTGCCACAACTACTCCAAAGTCAACCTCCGTTACCACCACCTGTGAAACTCCGGGATGGTTCGGGTGTAACGATGCAACCACAACGTCGGCAACGACAACAACGACAAAAAGTCGGTCTTCCTCGTCGTCGACTACCACTACATGCAAAACCCCTGGTGTTATATGGGGCTGCAACGACGTCACCACTACGTCCACATCTTCTGCATCGGCAGGTAGTACATCTACCTGCAAAACTCCTGGTATTATATGGGGCTGCAACGATGCTACCACGACGTCTGCATCAACTACTGCATCGACAAGTACGTCCACTTGCAAGACGCCTGGTATCTTGTGGGGCTGCAACGACGTCACAACCTCTGCACCCGCCAGTACGTCGACTCCTACGCCGACACCCCCTATCAACCCAACTTCAACCAGTTAAAGTGTTTCCTTTGGGGAAAAAAACCTTTTCGGGGCTATGTGCAATAGTTTGCCATTTATCACGATTTACTTCTATATCTAAATAAGACACTTCTGGAGAACGAGTTATGAAAATTTGGTTTTTGATTGGATTTACAACTGAATTTTGATTTGGATTCTGCGTGTCATGTTTGTTCGGAGTAATATTGCGAAATTGGTACCCAGTCTGGCTGTTATTTTACTGTCTTTTTGTCATTTAGAATTTTTTGTATGCTTATTATTGGTTGATTTCAGTGTTGGTAAGGGTATCACAGGCAAAGCAACCGTCCAGAAATAATATATCACTTAGATTATTCTCTATCACTTTTTTGTTGGCTATGCAGCATCTCTTTTCGACAGGAGAACCTCGCCAGCATCAAAACGGCGACCTTCAGCAAGCATGGGGCTGTTGTTAACAGCAGGACCCTTGAAACATGGACCCTTTCCAATATTCTTCGATGCTAGACGATAGAGGCTTGTCCGTTTGACAACCAACGAACTACGGGCCAACAAACGACTATGTACCAATGTTTCGCTTACCTTTGGCTGGACTTTCGTCATGTCTCGCAGTCATGAACGAATTTGTTAAACCTCGGGAAGATGATAATATAATAATAATAATATACTTGTGAGTGTTACTAGTGCCAATAAACCATCTAATTCTGAGCCAGGGGTAGAGCAGCCGCTAATAATTCCCAGACAGGAAATGACTCCAAAAAGCCTCTCAGCCCAGGAAGCCCGCCTCACCGATCACTGCTCCGTATTTTGTTTTACTTCAATCCGACACCTATGGTGGCGGCGGACGAACATGACTATTTTAATGAACCCAGAAGGGTTGACCAGCCAGGAGAGGCTGGGGCTGCAGCGGCACGGCGGGCAAGGTTCCTTTACCCTTTCTTTTCTTTTCCTCTGCCCTGCCCGCCCTGTCCGGGACGATGAAGCTGGGCCGGATCTTCTGGACGACGACCGCTAGCACACAGACGATCGCGTTGCACTGAGAAGTATCATGACGACCAGGGCAATGCGATGAGTCTCCTTGGATACGAACAGTGGCGAGATCTTATTTTCCGACATCAGGAGTAAAGAAGTTGGGAGCAACAAAAAGCTGGTACATGGCTTGCTTATTATCAAGCCCGATTCTCTTCTGCTGTCTAGCTTGAGAATCGAATCAGTCAAGTGCAGCTCTCCCGCGCCCACTACCCAAAGAAGACGCTGGCGGGTGCAACGACGATCAGATCTAGCCAGCACCGAGTCGAGTCGAGAGTGCGTCAAGCCTGTATCGAGAGTCGTTTGATGTGCAGATCGGGCCAATACGCTCCCGCCCGCCATCTTCTGCTCTGCCACAACTTGAGGGAGAGGCAATGCGTTGTGTGACGTTGTTTGTGAGACGTTGACAAGAAAGACTGATATAACTCTTCTCGACTCCGTTACGGTCCATCTCAGTCTTTGACGGGAGTGTTAGTTTCTCAGTTCTGGGGCATGGTAGAAGGGGAGAAGCGCGCGCGGCAAGAGACGAAAAATGGAACTTACCTTCATCACTATCCACGGCAAGTATCAATCCGTTCCCCCTATTGCTTCGTATAACTTGACTTGACCGCGACGTTCCCAGCTCTCGTATATGATCTAACGATAGACAACAGATCTCTCTCCTGATGCCCGCACGCGCTACGTATCCAGTGCGATAGAAGATATCCTTGGCTACCTCCCTCCAGAGGTGCTGCACAGGCCGATATGGGAGTTCTTTCACCCCGACGAGCTCTCACAGGCGCGTACAATCTACTCGCGCTCTGTCAGACATGATAAGGCCGCGGGGCTGAACTATTTTCGTGTCAGACATAAACAAGGCCACTGGGTTGCATGCGAGTGTGTCTTTACTATAGTCTGCGATGTGTTGGTCGCCAGCACCAGTGTCTACCGTCGCGGCAAGAGGAGCCAGAGTAAGCTCACCCTCTCTCCTTTTGTATCTATCCATATACTGATGGTTCCTGTAGTGCGCGCTGCCGAAGCTCCCATTGTGCGCCGGCTATTTGCATCTTCTTCCCGCGACCCACGCTACCATATGCTAAGCTGCATGTCCACGAAGTTCAAGCCCTCCCCATCACCAGGCAGTTCGTCTCCAAATGGTTTGCATGAGCCACGCGCTGCGCTATTTCTTAATCGTTTCACACGCTCTGCTGCTGTGATATACGCTACGCCTAGCATTACCAACGTACTAGGTGTACCACCCTCTGCACTTATCTCGACGAGCTTCTACTACTGCATCGAGGAATGCTGCCTTCCACAAGCCATCCAATGTCTTGAAAGCGCAAAGGCAAACGATTCAATTGCGTACTTGCGCTTCTGGTTCCGAAATCCAACGGACCAGCGCCATACACACGCCTATCCAGAACGGCGTAGAAGACACACCAATGCAGAGACGAACACGAATGACTGCTATTACCCCTCTCCATCTCACTCACAGCCAGCAGGCGGGCCAGGGCCAGGGTCGACAATAGAAACCCCCTCTCCTCATGACGGCGCACAGTCGACATCGCAACAGCAACTCCCATGCCAGCGACCGTCGACATCGTGCTCGACGTCCCCCCGCCCTCCCATCGAGCTTGAAGCGATCGTCTCATGTTCTTCGGACGGACTGGTGGTGATTATCCGACGCGCAAGACCACCCATACCCGGCTCTGTGAAACATCCTGGCCACCCAATCTACGGCCGGGGTATGTCTCCTCCGTCGCCTATACGGTCAAACTCCGATGAGAAGTCTGTATATGCGATAGGATCCCCCAGCGACTCCAGCACCGACACCGAAACGGGCGAACATCGCCAGCGCGGCGTCAAGAGATTAGCGCCAGGCGGCCCCGAGGCAGAGGCGCTGATGAATACGATCCGCAAGGCAATGCACACTTAGTAGTAGCCCGTCACATCCACATACATACATGCATACCTTTTCCCTCCTTCCGACAGACGTGGACATTCATCTCTAGGATACCCTTTTCGCGACAACATAGCTCCACGTTTCATCTAATCCTCGTCTCAGCTTCAAACGTTCCATTCTACCGCTATCTATATTAACTACTTCCCCTCCAGCTCGGCCGCTCGGCTTGTTTCGTTTCGTTCCTGTTCTTCTCCTTTCTTTCCTCTAGCCCGGTTATGGTTATGGTTCCTCATCTCATAGCGTTTCGCCTTCTTTTCACACATATACTTGAGTCGTCTACCTTACATGTATACAGCTAGCCAGCTTCTTTCTCCACGACATATCTAAACTAACTAATTAATTAATGAAGGGAACAAATATCTACATCGTCTAGACCGTAGCCCAGAGTAGGATAAGATACGGTAGGTAGGTAGGTAGGTAGTATGATGGAAGCACAGCATGTACTATGTATGTACCCCGAGCAGGACAACCACCCACCGCCCAAAAGAAGGCATTAGAAAGAAGAACAAGGAAAAAGGAATAAGAAATAAAAGCAAAGAGACAACCCGGACCAAACTTTTTTTTTAATCGAATAATTACTTTTTGCCGTTTCCGTTGCATCCCGTTTCCATCCATGAGAGAGAGAGAGAGAGAGAGAGATTTGAATGAAAAGATTGATATGAAATCAAACCGGTGGTATCATCGTAGTAATTAAAAATAAGAGAAAAGAATCATTAGGAAAAGTGCTTTCTTTTTCTTTTTTAGTCCAGATCAGTAGGAAAAGTGACATGACGACATCAGGTACATATGCATGTATGCATGTAGATGTAGATGTAGATGTAGATGCAGGTATAAATAACCCAGCGACAGCTTGCATCGCATATATTTCTGTTTCTTCCACCACCGTTTTTTTCTTTTGATTTTGATTTTTGGATCCCCCTCATCCCGTCTTCATGGCTCGAGCTTAGATTTCCAGATCTTCACATACGCTGCTTGAGCTCGTTGTGCTGACGCTTCTTTCCAATTTGGCTGCATTAGCTGGAGTGGTCGGAAGGGCCGGTTTGGTTGAGGGCTCCTGTCTGGCCAGCTCTGATGATTTGGTACATATCCATGTAGATGCGTACATGTTGACACTGTACATGTTAGCTGGTGAGGGGAAAGCGGGATGAAAAAGAAAAAAAAAAAGGGGAGGGACTTACCGGTCGATGCATGCGCCGGGGAATCTGGCCCCGACTCTCCTAGTGGTGAATCCGCATTTTTGGAAAACAGAGATGTACCATGGTTCGATGCTGGCGGAGCGGAGGAGAATGCGGCCGCCGAGCTTGAGAGCATGGTTGAATGCCGTTGCTTGCGTGGCCGCAGCCTGGGAGGAGGGATCGAACCAGTCCATGGAATCCATTACCTAGAATTGGCTATTAGATGTGTCTGTGTGTAAGGGTGGAAGAGGGATACGTACTACTGCGATGGTTAGGGTGCCGGGGGTGATGCGGGAGATGACTTCCTGGATCTCGTCTGTGTGGATGCGCAGGCCGTCAAAGGCGCCTGGGGTGGAGAGCTTGGTGTGGGCCTTTTGCGTGAGGTAGGTTGGGTGACATCTCTTGGAGAACTGTCCGGTCAGACAGAGGAGGTAGAAGTAGTTGTCGTCTCCCAACAGGGTCTCCCTGACGACCGGGTCGAGGGTGTTGACGACGTATTCCCATACGGCCTGTCCGCCTACACCTCTCTCCTTGGCGCCCTTCAGGCCGCCCTCTAGCTTCTCGCGCTCCATGTAGTCTGTTAATATCATGTTTCGCTGTGCGGCAGGCACACCGGCGGCCTTCCACGCGAACCACTCCGTCCCCACGATGGCCCAGTTGAGCGGTTTTGAGAGCAAGACGCGGCGGATGCGCGGCCAGAGGGCCCGTTGTTCCTCGAGCGTCTGGGCGGCACACATCTTCTTGACCTCGTCTGTCAGGCCGAAGATGGAGAAGAGGTAGCGGACCAGCTTGAGGGCGTGTCTGGAGCCGCCGGTCTCGTAGAGGCCGTGGCTGGAGGAGGTGAAGACGGAGGCATGGTCGAGCCAGAACTGGAAGGCCTGCGAGGAGAGGTGGGGAGAGAGCTTTGAGATGAGCAGGTCACGGAACCCGGGGTGCTTGCCCTCGCCGAAGATCTTCCAGTGGTCGCTGTGGGAGAGCGCGGTGAAGGAGGCGACTTTCAGTTCGAGCAGATGGTTCTGATTCGGGTTGAGGTCTACGGCGTGGATGCGGCGGGGGGTGTGGGGTCCGGACAGGTAGTCCAGGATGTTGTCTCCGGCACTGGTGATGGCGAGGATGACGTCGTCCGAGGTGATGTTCAGCAGGCGGTGGTCGACACGGGGATCTTCCCAGGTGAAGGCGTAGATGTACTCCTTGTTGAACTGGGTGTGCTTGGCGAGGAGTTCGTTGTAGCAGATACGCCAGTGGTGGTGCTGGTAGAAGAAAGAGGGCAAGGGCAGGTTGGAGGAGAGGTTGACGATGGCGGATTCGTATGCCTTGGACCGGACTTCGGGGATCGTGCGCTGGACGGCCCTGGAGAGCTCGGAGCGGTGGTGGGTTGGCGAGAGATACGGGGACTCGGTGAGGGTGGCGTCCAGACGGGCGATGGCGTCGCTGTCGTTGAGGGTAAGGTCCTTTTGGCACCCGATGAAGATGTAGTAGGGGATGCCGCCGAGCAAGTAGTTGCGCTCACTGGCGGAGATGACGGTACCGAAGCGGTATTCGAGGTAGTCCCTGCGCGCGGCTTCCAGGTTGACACGATCAACGTCGAACCAGGCACGCCAGAAGACACGGCCGAGCCAGTTGACGTGGCGATTGGAGATGCCGCCGGTATAGTTCCTGGTGGCCAAGTCGACGATGTTCTGGACTAATTTTCCAGGCTGTCAGCTTTCTGTATATCGATAACCTTAAGGTTCGGGCCGTACCGTAAAAGTCGCATACTCCGATGGTGCCGTCATTTCTCAGCAGGGAGGAGAGCGAGTCGACGACGGAGTAGTAGTCTGCCCAGCCATCAGCACGTCCGTACAGGTTAAAGGGTATGGGTAGGGGTGTACCTGGGATCATGGACAGGGAGTAGCTCATGGTGATGAGATCGGCCTTCGCATCCTGACCCGGAACGCGAAACTCCCTCGCATCCTGGCAGAAGACGGAGACGTTCTTCCATCCGAGCCGGGCGAAGCGCTGCCTGGCGACCTCGCACAGCGACGGAGACAGGTCGACGAGGTAGACATGCTCAAAGTGCCGTTCGACATCCAGAAACGCTGCCATGGCCTCGATGTTATACCTATGCTTACGTAAGCACTATACATGACACTTTCCGGCACTTTTGACGCACCCAGTTCCACCGCCAATCTACGTAACGTTAGCATTAATATATATATATCAGGGTGAAAGAGAAATATACTGGAGACGTACGTCAACCCAGATGGGCTTGTGGTCCTTGGAGGCCATCTTGAGGCCGACCTGGGCGGCGAGGAGGCCGAGCATGTCCTCGCGGCCCCTGAGCAGACGTCGTCTAGTCGCATCGTACACGGAAGCCTGTTCACACAGCGTCAACACCAGTCTTTGATAGGTCTCGTCATCGTCTCCTGCGTGGGTGCTGCCGTGGTGTGGCCGTTGATGATGATAAGGAAGTACCTGAGTCTGGTAGAAGTTCTCGAGGGCCTGCTGCTGGCCGGAGGTGGCGCCGGCGGACGAGGGCGTGTGCAGGGGCTTGATGAAGTTGGCGTAGACGAAGCGGCAGTACATGAGAAAGGAGGCGGGCTCCTGGCCGTCCTTCTTCTGCTGCTTGTTACCGGGAGAAGAGGCAGAAGAGCCGGAGAGGGCGAGGTAGAGCACGACGACGGCCAGGAGGGAGGCGCCCAGGACGATGGGGGAGGAGAGCAGGCCGCCCATCGAGGACAGGGAAGTGGCCATATCTTTTTTTTTTTTCTTTCTTTCTCTTTGGTCTATCTATGCAATTGACTGACGGTACAACATGAAAGAGGGCAGGGCAGGGCAGAGCAGAGCAGAGCAGACGTAAGGAACGGGAGCAGTAAGAGACGAGCAGAAGTAGAATAAGAGCACAAGATAAGGGAGGGGGAGGGGAAGCTGCCTGATTATGTATATGTCCCCAGGCCAGGGAGAGACGACGAGACGGGAGGAGACGAGATGGGAGAAAAAGAGGTGAGCAGGCCTATCAAGCACACCATGTGGCCCGGCAACGCGAAAACAGCAGAGAGTAAAAGGCAGAGTAAGAAGGAGAAGAAGAAGTTTAGCTAAAAGTAAGACTCGGTGGGTTTACTTTGGCCAGGGTGCACGGCGGAGCTTCTTATACGCGCCTTTCCTCTTCTCTTCCTCTTCTCTTCTGCTGCTGCTTCTGCTAGTCCTTGTTTACCCGGCGGGGCTTGATGAGTCAGGGCTTGATGAGTCAGGGCTTACCTAAGGACAGGCCATTGACCAGTCAGAGGGCGTCTTTCTGCCCATGGGAGAGTCCACTGGCCGAGAGCAGGTCGGGCGTCTCCCTAGCTTGGGCCTTTTCAGCCAGAGCGTCTTCTCACCGCCCGACAGAAGCACATCCTCGGCTTCTCTACGAGTCTCATCTTGGCCCAACGGTTCTGCTGTCCGGATGATACATAGTCCGGCTCCGTGGACCGGGATGCCAGACGCGGACACCCAGACCGGCGTCCGACAGAGATATGGAGATATATAGAAGCTGGCACGGTGATATACTTATTCTTACATGAGAACTACAAGACGACTACGATAGCAAGACAGATACTAGACGACTACGATAGCAAGACAGATACTACTACGATAGCAAGACACATACGAGACCATGACACAACACACGATACTACCCTGCACGCCCGATGACACCATGGAGATGGCAGCCCTCGAACGAGCAGCCTACGGCGTCGAACCGCTCTCCAACCTCATGTTCGGCGAGCCGTCCTCTTCCTCCCTCGACGCCCGCGCAGAGAGGTTCGCCCAGCTGATGGCCCACCCTACCTCGCGCTGGTTCAAGGTCGTGGTCGACGGCAAGATGGCCGGCGTCGCGTTCTGGCAGTTCAGGACCAACACGGACTGGATAAGCGAGCTGGACGGGCCGGAGAAGGGCGAGGAGTACCTGGATCAGGGCACGAAGGGGCTGCCGGAGTCCGGGTGCGATGCCAGACGTGTGTTCTTCAACTGGCTCTACGGCGTCAGGAAGAGACGGATGGCCGGCAAGAGTCATGTCTGTACGTTTCTGCCTCTCGACCATAGTGTAATGGACTGCTGTGTGCTAATTGATAGTGCTGAATCTGCTGGCCGTGCTTCCGGATTATCAGCGACGAGGCATCGGCGGGACGTTGTTGAGGTACGGTCTGGAAGAGGCGCAGAAGCTGGGCGTGCCCACCTGGCTGGAGGCTTCGTCGGAAGGGTTCCCGCTCTACAGGTCCCATGGGTTCGAGGTCGTAGAGCCGTTTACCATGCGGCTGGCAGACTACGGAGGCAGAGAGGAAGACGGCGAAAACAAGATGTGGGGGATGATCAAGATGCCATAAAAACCATCCTATCTTATCGTCACGTGTTATTGCAGTTACCTAATCTAGACCCATACAAACTATCTACTCTCCATATTCATCCACCATCCACTGGCAGAACGCCTCCCACTCATCGCGCCACAGCTTCATCCTCCCGGCCCTGGTGCCGTCCCCTTCGTACCCGTCGTCAATCCCCTTCAGCCAGTGCTCCTCGCTCTCGTCCTCGAACGCCGCGTACCGCACGCTGTTCTCCGCCAGCGAGCCCAGGCCCGCCAGCCCCAGGTTCTCCCACGCCTGCAGCGCCTGCCAGAAGTCGTGAGACATGCCCGACGTCCCCTGTCCCAGCAGCGCAGGGTCGTCGTTGCTCAGTGACGCACTTACCCCGCGCGCCAGCAGTGCAGGCAGAGGGTGCGCCAGCACCGTCGCCGTCAGCCGGAGAACCTCGTTGGATATCGGGCAGCTTTCAACCATTATCCGACGCTGTTTGACCAGCTCGATCAGGTGCGGATGCTTGTACAGCGAGAAGCCGTGGCCGAGACGCCGGGTGTTGAACAGGATCGCGTCGTAGAGGTTGCGGTCCGTGCTGTCGCCGTCGCCCAGGCACTCGCCCGCGTGGAAGAAGAAAGGGATCTCTAGACCCTGGGATACGCACTGCTGGCGGAACCAGATCACTTGCGGGGCCAGGGCCGCCAGTGGCTGGCCCAGGTCTTCTTGGCCGACAAGGTCGAAGCCAGCTATCAGATGAGGGTATGCCTTCTTAGCCTGTAAGCAGTTCCTCATGCCTGCGTGTCGTTAGCCCGTGTCTATTCAGATTCGATAGGGAAGAAGACGTACTGGTAAGTATGGATTCGACATCCAAGAACCGTAGGGCCGTCCAGATGATCCGTCCGCCCCAAAAGGCCTTTCCTTCCTCCGTCTTCTTAAACGCTTCTATCTCTTCTCCCATCACGGCAACACGGTAATTAAACCCTGTCTCCGGCACCTCATGCCCTTCCTTGGCAAAAGGTGAGCCAAAGACATCTCGTATCTCTACCCAACGCACCCCATCTGCCGCCAAGGTCTGTAGCATCTTCCGTATGAACAGTCGATACACCGGTTCGTAGCCTAGCAGAGAACCCAGCGTGGGGAACGCACCAGCCATCTTCCGCCATACCTCGTCGACACCCAGGTGGTGCTCTAGAGACTCCTGCTCGCTTATCACGCTTCGATCGGTAAGCCACGCCACGAACCCCCCTCGTCCTGTTGCCGGAAACGTATCCGCCGCCTGGCAGGCAGGTACATAGGTGTTCGCTTGGTATTCAGACGACCATATAGACGTCTTGCTTGCGCCCGGCCGCGGAGTGATATACTTGAACAATATCACCGCCCTGGCCCTCGCAGTCTCCGTGTCCAGCGCCTCCGAGGCACACACATGCAACCCTTCAACGTGAAGGACCCGTTCAAATAACCAGTCCACCTCTACCATCGCACCGAGATGACAATGCAGCAACGCCCCCTTGGGCATCCTCTTGGCTATCTTCCATAGATCCGTAGATTCCAGCTTCCGCTTTGCTAGACCAAACATCATCCCCGGGTACAGTTCCACCCCTTCTTCCTTGTCAGGGCGGGAGGGGTCATGTTTCCAGATCGAGGCGTGTTCTGCTTTGCGGATCTGAGAGACGATGGCACATGCGCGGCTGGCGATGGGGGAGAGAGACCTGCGGAAGGTTGTATCTGTAATATATATCCTGCATCAGCCCTGGGTTCTTTTATATTCATACTTCTACCCCCCGGATAAAGAACGGGGCCGCGCGCACCGCTGCGGAGAGAAAGTTCCTTGGATATCAGGGCATCCCGGGCAGCAAAGTGGGATGCCAGCGCTTCTTCTTCCGAACCTGCGTCTCCCATGATGTCTGGCTAAACGTGTGATGCTTCTTCTCCTCCTGTTCTCCAACGTCTGACTTCTGCCTGGATGCCATCTCGTGTTAATCGCTGTGGGGTAACTAAACAGCCGCATCCTTCAAGAAGATCGACGCAAGATGGATTAGCTAAGATATTAGCTAACAAGTGCGGTGAGCTCGCCTTTGATATAATATGATACATTAGATATCAGTGAGACGGCGAAAGGTTGGCTACTTTTGCTATTTTCACGACGCTGGATGTTGTTTTGATCCCTCTTGAGTACAGCCTTCGCCATGACGTCACCGTCAGCTTTTGGGCAGACGATGAGAGACTTGCTTCTGCAGGGCAGCTATTCGGATATGGAGATAACCTGTGAAGACTTCACTTTCAAAGTCCACCGGGCGATAGTATGCACCCAATCGCATTTCTTTAAGGGTGCTCTCAGCGGTGACTTCAAGGTTAGTCAAAGGCATCTCCCTTGCACAGATAAAGTCACTTATATGGTAGAAAGGAAGCCACTGCGAGGACCATCGATCTGCCTGACGATGATCTTGAGACCATCGAACGAGTCCTGTCTTTCATATACCTGCAAGACTACGAAGAGACAGGCCATATAGTGCAGTTGGAGAGCACAGACACAAAGGCAAATACCCGAACCGCAACCAACAGCTCATATTCGAAGGTCGAAGGCACGACAGCAAATGCTGCTGCCTCAAATAACGTCCAAGTTTATATAGCTGCCGATAAATTCGGAATCACGCCCTTGAAATCCCTTGCTGCAGAGAAATTCACCCGTTGGGTAAATGCCAACTGGGACTCGCCGGCTTTTCTACATATAGTCGAGGAAGTGATGACCTCAGTGCCATCGCATGACCAGGTTCTCCGAAATATCCTTGCTGATGCCATATCGAAGAACCTCACGCTGTTTGTGAACCAAAAGGCCATACTCCCTCTAATAGAGTCCTTTGGTAGTCTTGGATCGGCAATCATTTCAAAACTAGTGGAAACCGGAAGGGTTGGAGGCAGAGAACAGGAGAAGCCTCGCGATTTACCACGTTTTGGACAGGTTTTGAGACCGAGGACGTGTAGAAACTGTACTGCAGTGCTCAGTGGTGGAAATATAGAGTATGATAACGGCGCCATTCGTTGTGCCTTCTGTCTTGTGCGGAATTGACCGAATCAGCATTCTCAGCTGTCTGGTGCGCGGTTTTCGATACCAGGGAATAAGTTGCCCCCCAATACTAGCTTCAGCCATCGAAAGAGAATGATTATTGACGGGTTTTTCGTGATTCATACGTAGTGGTGTCCATAATTGTTGGGAGATATCAGTTCAGGGGCGTATCACTTGACGTTATGGTAATTACACTCCAGACACGTTTCTACTAGTTTTTACTGTATGGTACCGTAAGGTTCCATCAGGCCGATTAATGCCAAGACCACAGAAAGGGAGAGTTACATAAGCAGCGGTGGCCTTTCTCGTCTTGGCATGGAAATCTATATGTAAAGCTGGTTCAGTTCTTAACATGATGCTGAAGTGACCTAATTTCTTATAGAAAGGCCTTGGTTATTGCTTATAGTGACATGTCTAGATCTCTCCGGGTTTTATTCCAAGGGATGAAGCTCATAGGCAAACGTGGAGAGACATATACCCTACATCATCCCCTAATCCAACGCAGGGGCAAGCGCTGTCATATCTGGAGTGCGTCAAAAGATAGTGATGCATTGGATCAGTATGTTATCAAGCAGCCAGATGACGAAGATGGCCTTGGTTGGCCTAATTTTACAAAGGAGCTGGAGATGCAGAAGAAGTTCCAAAAGTCTGCATACATTCGGCGAATGGTTGATTTGATACCAGCACCTACAGACCTACAGGCTTCTTGTATGATGGTGCTGGAACCTTTTGAAAAGTCACTTTGGGACGCACGATTACGGCGCCCACTCATCTTGGAGGAGATCAGGTCTGTCATGAGATCTATTGCTATCGGACTTGGGACTATACACCAAATGAATCTTGTCCATACCGGTTCGTTTTACCACAGCTACTGCTAGGAGCATATGCTGACGTCCTGGCCCAGACTTGAAGATGGAGAACATCCTTATTAACGGATTTAACAATGAGAAACCAGGATCTGGTGAAATACTCGTGACCAAAATTGCCGATCTTGGGATGGGTAACACTACCATACCTACTCTTTGATATCCAGACCTAACTGGTGACCAGTTCAACCTCCCTCTCAGGGTACCATATCGTCCATCTCATACAGAAGCCCTGAGGTGTACTTCAACAAACCCTGGACTTCTGCGACAGATATATGGTCCTGGGGTATTGTGGTAATGTCCTTGAATCATTTTTCTACATGTATTAGCATTGACTTATCAAGTACCTTCATCTCCTCCAAGCGCTTGCCAATTTTGACAAACCCGGGATGTTTGATTCTCTAAAGGTAGAAGGAACCTTGGCTGACAAGGAAAACGCTACCCGGGCTCTCATGGTGCAAGAGTTTGATCTTCAATCCGTCGATTATTATACTTCCGACCCGGTTTCTCGAAAACTACTACCGATAAAAGACGAAACAAGGACAGAGTTGGACCACTGGGTGGTAAAATTACTTGACTACGGCACCCCGAAGAAAGATATTGAGACCGTGTATCTTGCTTTAGATACAATTCCAGAAAGGAGACCAACGGCTATGAACCTTTTAGAATACGGCTACATTTAGGACAATATATACTAAAGGATCAGTTGATGCCAGTGAAAGCAATATAATTGGATACCCTTCAACGGCATAGGCACGCTCTACATACATCCCATCACTAGCTCCCATTGCCTTCAATATACCTAAGGTCATATGCTCTATCTACCAAGGTAGCTGAGCTCCGTTATACGGGTCTGGCCCGTCATAATTCTCCCAACCAGGAACCAAGACATTCAAGAACTTCCCATTGTCCGCCTTGCTAACGTTGGAAACGATGTCCAGCACGGCAGGGGAACTTTGACTGACAGTCAAATTGGCGTATTCACTACCTAGATCGGTCTTCACCCACTATATGCCTGTTAGCATTGCTAAATGGAGTTTTGTCCGGAATTACTTACTCCGGGGGAGATGGCAACAACAGTGAAGCCTTCGCCCTCAAGGGACAGGGCGTATTGCACAGTGAGCATGTTAAGAGCCGCCTTTGAGATTTTATAGGCAGGGGTCGGAGCAACCTGGAACTTCGATGTCATCTCAAAAGAGCCCATGGTCGTAGACCTGTATGGTATCGGTTATTGTCCGGGCGACAAAGGTTTCTAGGGGCACTCACATGGTAAAGACCTTCTTTAGGGTGCCTCGCCTCAGCAATGGGAGAAAAGCACTGGTCACAAGGTGAGTACCAGTCACATTGATCTTCAATGTCGCGTCCAGGTCAGTCCTGTTATAGACTCATCAGCTACCCAGATTTACCTTTTGAATACCACGTTCACAAATAACTCACATGGTCTCGATGCCTTTGGGAGCGTAATCAATAACACCCGCATTGTTGATAAGAACATCCAAGCCCTTGTCTCCAAGGGATGTTTCAACTTGCTCCACTGCCTTCTTCACCTTGTCCTCGGACGTCACATCAATTGGAACAAATTCGATGCGGCCAGCAGATTTTGCAATCAACGCCTTCAAGGCATCCGTCTCTGTACGTGCAGCTGCGAAGATGACAGACACCTCTGAGGCAGGCTTAGCAACAAGATCGCCGACTAGAGCAAGGCCAATGCCTCTCGAAGTCCCAGTGATAAGGTAGGAAGCCATTTTATGGTGTAGAATAAGACTGGGTTATAAAGAGTGGTAAAGAGTTATCGGTTATGCGAAAGGTGTCAGTAAAGGTGTTGCTTCCCTTCGATGCGATGTGCTGATGAGAGGGAGGGCTGGTGTAGAAAATATGAGCCTTATACATTCGCTGAATCCTTCGCGAGACCAAGTAGTTACAGAAGCCATCTTCCTATTGGCTTTGAAGTCAAGAGACCCCGCTGAGTATTATTGTGGTAGATATTGAGCCATCCTTGTCGTAATCAACCATCACTCGTCATATATACGGCATGAGAATGCAGATTCCTCCTACTTGATGATCCCCGGACTGGTTCCCATCTCTACTTCAACAACGGCCTATATCACATATGAAGCCAATTATCACGAGAATAGAAATAAGACTCGGTACATCTTCGGGAGATAATCGCCGCACGGGAGAAATGTCTCTTCTTAATGGTCACTTTCATCACTCTGATAGGCAATAAGAGTCAATCTATACAACTTGCTTACGAGAGTTACTTGCAAGGTGGCTCGCCGAATGGCTACTTTGGTGATTGGAACTCCATATCTCGTATTTAGAGTGAAAAAGCGATTACAACAGTTTGGGACATATCTTATGGAGCAACTAAAGGCACTATGATGACGGCTCCCCGACAGTATAATACAATATTTTTAGTCGTCTCTTGTCTTGTCAACTAGTTATATACGGAGAACTGCCGATGAAGCTGCCTTCAACACAGTGGCAAGAGTACAACCAACCATTCTCAATATGTACCATTTCTTACAAATAATAAAGAAATAGACTTAGCAAAGGTACTTTGAGCCATGTAAGTTCATCTTACGCACTATGAGCCAGGAAAACGGTCTGGATCTATATCATCACTGGTAGCTAACAGCTTGCCACAAATCCACATTTCATGGACATGATTCTATAGAACGAGCTGGCCCTACATAGTAAGTGTCGTATGAGACATTAAGCCGGTTATATATCTCCAACGGATGTTCAATTGGCCATTCTTTGATCAAACACAGGCTTTATGATATCATAGCTATTCGATTTGTTTCTGCGCTGAGGCGAATGTTAGATGCAGTAGCATATAAATATCACCTAGATACAACCAGATTGTCCTCCTATCAACCATCTTATACCAGAAAACCTGACCACAGATCTACCAAGAACACGCAAACAACGAGCTACAGTCACCATGTCTGGAATTGGAGACAACTGGACCACTTCCCAGCGCCGTTCCCAGCGCACTACCCGTAGCGCTGCCCAGGGAGGTCAAGACTTTTCCGAAGAGATCAATGAAGATATGTTGGCCACTGATCCCAATTCTCAGGCCCAGAGATGGGAATCCAAGAAGTACGCTCAGCGCACCCACCTGGACGACCAGGTTGAGGCTGGTGGCATGGGCTCCTCAGGCTCCCGTAACCTGCAGGGTGGACAAGGTATGAAAGGCGTCGAGGACACCTCTCGTACTTCCGGAGAGGGAATGGGCGGTATGCATAATGAGGAAGCCACCGGGGCTTACCCGAGTGCTTCATCTCAGGGCCAATACCAGAGCTCTAGGGCCACTGATGACCCTGGCGAGGGTATGTCTGGGCTGAGTGGCAAGAATCAGGGATACGGTGATCAGGGCTATGGAGGCCAGAGCTACGGAAACCAGGGCTACGGAAGCCATGCTGGTAGTGCTAATCCACCAGAACACCAAGAGACAGGTAAGTTTGTTCGGTTCGTTGACATGTTCCTGGTCGAATGATTGCTGACTTATATCTCAAGGCGGCGTTCTTGGTTCCCTTGGTGAGAAAGTAAAGGGAGCTATGGGTGATGTTAGCAAGAAGGCTTCCAAGTTCAGCGAGTAATAGCTGATGGTATCAACGAGATGCTCCATGGATTTTGATATTTGATATTTAATCCAAGGAAAATAGGGAAAGTTCAAGGTATAATGAAAAAGAAAAGAATTAATAAAAAATACAGTAGTTTATGGTAATATATTAATAGTTCTTGAATGGAATGAAGTGCTAAGATGTTTGCTCCGCGCTTATGAGATGAATGCTGGTGGTGGGATATGTATTTGGATGTTCTGTAAAACCGTGGAATAAACGTATTCTAGAATATATTTTGGTACATAAATTACTCGTGCGACCACTCGGGCTTCTTCTTCTCAGCAAAAGCAGCCATCCCTATTTACTTCAAGTTAGCTTCTGAACAAATCAAACTTGGATGATATACTTACCAATCTTCTGGTCCTTGCTTCCAAATAGCCCATGGAACAATCTTCTTTCGAAATCAACACCTTCTCTCAACGAGAGCTCCTGGCTCTTGTTCACTACCTCCTTAGCCGCAACAACGGCTACACGGCTATAGCTAGCGATCTTGCTAGCTGTCTCAAGTGTAGCCTCCATCAGCTCATCCTTACCACCCTCAACGACCTTTGCGGCCACTCCCCATTCTCCAGCCTCCTTACCGCTGAAGGTGTTTCCTGTCAAAATGAGTTCCATTGCCTTGCTCTTGCCGACAAGCTTGGTCAGACGCTGGGAACCACCGGCTCCAGGAATGGTGCCAAGCTTGATCTCTGGCTGGCCAAAGGTGGCCTTATCGGTGCAGTAGATCATATCACACATCATAGCGAGCTCGCACCCACCTCCAAGAGCATATCCGGAGACGGCAGCGATGACTGGTGTTCTGATATTGTTGGCAAGATGTGACCAGGAAGCAATGAAGTTGTCACTGTAAGCGGAGGAGAAGGTTAGAGGGGCCATTTCCTTGATATCGGCACCGGCTAGTAAGACGTTAGAGGGTTATATCCATCAGCGCCTTTATTATCGATGCTTTATGCATACCTGCGAATGCCTTCTCACTACCGGTGATGATTATAGCCCCGACACTCTTATCCTCGTCATACTTGGTGAGAGCCTCGTTGAGCTCCTTGAAGAGAGGGCTGCATAAGGCATTGAGGGCCTTTGGACGGTTAAGGGTGACTACGGATGATCAGAAACGTCTACACAAGAGCTATATCAGGGATAATTGGTCGTACTTAATCCGACTCCAGGCTTAGGAGTAGATGTCAAGATATACTCATAAGCTGGGGATCCAGTAGCGTAGAAGCGGGAGATGTACGATTGCAGAGGCCGGGCAGTCTGCGAGGCCACAAGTCTTGAGCAGCGTCTGGCGAACATGATGTGAGATGTATATAAAGCAATTGATATCAAGGAACGAAACAACAGCTCTAGGGTTGATGCTGGTAAGATGTTGATGTTCTTTGACGATGTTTTGTTCCTTTCTTGCCCGCGTCAAACTAGCGCCGAGGCAAAGAAAAGAAAAAGCCGCGACAAGCCGAAGAATATCACGTGATTGGTTTCTAAAGACTGCTTACGTCAACTTGCTATTTTGGGACTAGCGCAAGTGTCAGCCTCGTTATCTCTTTTTTGTTGGACCGTGCATTGTGGCTTGTTTCCAAAGTTATCATAAAGAAGCCAATATTAATATTAAACCTATCAAACACCATCGACATTAGCCAAGTTGTCACCTTTTCCAGCTTTTACACCCTCAGATACAGACGCAGACGCAGGCAGTATCATCTCAATATACAGACAGCGCTATCTATCTTATCCCCGAATTTTTATCCCTCCTTCGACATGGATCGCCCGGAGCCAGAGAACAGCCCCTTTACAGCGGTTTCCGCGCATACCTCAAGGTTGAGAAGAGTGAGTGACGCAGCCCTCGCTATGGCTATACATGCGCCTTGCTTGTAGCTAACTAGGGTGCGATGTGCTTAATAGCAATACCAAGCATATCTCGATGCGTCGACCCCATATACCATGTACCGCTGGATAGGAACCGGCGTCATGCTATTGCTTTTCTTTCTCCGAATAGTGCTCGCGCAGGGCTGGTATATTGGTATGCCATTTCCCATGATACTCTCTGACCGTAGGACTAAGGCTAACTGACCTTTGCGACAGTCGCCTATACCCTGGGAATCTACCTACTCAACCTCTTCCTCGCATTCCTCCAACCAAAATTCGATCCTTCTCTTACCCAGGATAGCGGGTTAGAGGAAGGAGACGCTTCTGCTTCTCTCCCCGTCAACAAAGATGAGGAGTTCCGTCCTTTTATCCGAAGACTTCCGGAATTCAAGTTTTGGCATTCTGCGACTGTGGCTATCACCCTTGCTTTCTGCTGCACCTGGTCCCAGGTGTTCAATATCCCAGTTTTCTGGCCAATCTTGGTCGTATACTGGTTGATTCTGTTCTGCTTGACGAGTACGTATATTGCCCTTCCTCCACTTGTATTTATCGTCCAATAATCTAACGTGGCGCCAAACCCTAGTGCGACGACAAATACAACACATGATTAAATATCGTTACGTCCCCTTCACCTTTGGCAAGACCAAGTATGGCCGCTCCTGATGTGGTCGCATCCGACCCACTCTTCCTATCTTATTCTACCTCTACTCTTTTTACTATGACGTGAAAAATGGGATTCGAACCCAAATCGACGATTATGGATTGCGAAGGGACGCCAACGACTACAAAAAAAAAACAGCGCACATGAAAAGACTTGTTTTCCCTTTGAAGAATTCTTTTACCCTTTATTTCCCACTATTCTTTGTACAAACACCTTTCGATACATTCTATGAGTTGTGTTTCTCCTTTTTGTCCTTACCTTCTCCCAATCCCCGGGCTGGCAGACGCCGAACCACCCCGCTTCTGCGTCTTGTGTGAATCCCCCTTCTAATTTGGACAAGTGAGTAAAGAGGACACCTAGGCGATTCGTTGATTGGTATGACCAATTGTTAGCAAGGTTTTAATTTTGTGTGGCTTTTGGCCTTTTGTTCTCTTGTTTGGATTAATACACTGTTTGTTTGCTCTGGGTGGATTCAAACGCCTCCATTTCTCTCTTCTCATAGAATACTAATAGAGTCATGGCAATCTGTTAATGGTAATGAATACGTGTATCTACCTTATCAATACGCTGTGTCTAATACTATAAGACATCCAACTGCAACAAATAGCATGATAGCAAGGAACGACAGCCATACCTCTCACGGACATACAAGTTACCCCCCTTAACGGCCCAGCCGGCCGATCCACTCCATCACAGGGGCAATGGCGTAGTTGGGAGCGCGTTTGACTGAAGAAAACTTCAGGAACAAGGTATTATCCGCCTAGTTGATCAGAAGGTCACCGGTTCGATCCCGGTTTGCCCCATTTGACTATTGCATTAGTTAATAATTCCCTTTTTTTTTCATGTTCATCTTTTTATTCTTTTTGCTGGAGGAGGTTGAGTGTCATCTCGCCTTGATAATGGACCGGAAAAAGCGTCCAGGACCATTGTGTGATCACGTGATCCCACCCGAGGGCCAGTTCGTGTGAGTATCATGTGACTGACCCATTCGATGACCTCCTGTCTCGAACCGCGAGGATTATCGAGTTGCCAGCTAACGACGGCTTCATAAACCAGCGCGTTGAGGCATGACCTCTTCCTGAGGTCGAACATGTCTTCAATATCCTGCCTTGTGAGAATGGGGTCTAGGAAGAGCGCATACTCTAGTTTGTTATGAAAGATATACCCCAAGAACCTGTCGTAGCGCAGCAGCACGTCGGTCAATGACTCTCTGTCAAATGCAATATGCGCGATATCTGCCAACATCGCGTATAAAACCTGAAACCTCCATGTGATACCCCAGTACCTCAAAGCCAAGCCAATGTCGCTACGCTTTAAACTGCTGAAGTCCGGTTCTTCCACGTATGAATGAATGTCGTTCATGTTTTTCAGACAGTCTCGCAAAAGATCGGATATTGCTGTCTCGGGGTGGAATGCCCTTGCTTCGTTAGCAATAGTTTCAACAATTCCTTCATCTCTTTTGACGGTACCGATGTTTGTTCTTAGCTGCCCAAAATGAGAAAATACTGCAAGCAACCACAGGTTCTCGGTATCAATCCAAAGAAGGTATTTCCCCATGTTACTCTTGCGGTGTATTGGGTCAGCCAGAAGACAGTCGACCGTACTATAGACAAGAGAAGAGTTCGATTTCCACCTGCCAAATTGATAGCCTAGGCGGGGAGAGTGTATTTGCCACAGGCGGGGAGTTACACGCGGATACACAAATATCACTGGATATAAAAGTGACATGTGGATCAGCGACAGACCTCTCCCGGGATCTGCGCCGTTTATTATCTCCATTATTTCGGCCCTTAGATTGTCTATGCTGAATTTATGGAGGGCTTTTCCTTTAGTAATGCACCGCAGAACGGATGTGTTTTTCATCAACACCACCATATTATGAGATATTCGATACCCTGTAGTACACGCTTCCCGAATTAGGCGGAAGAAACAGAAGGGGTCTTTCTTTAAAACGATTCCTTCATGAATCGGTGTTCTGATGATACCATTCTTGAGATCATGAAGTCCATAACCGGTGGAGTCCTCTATCTCCTGGGTAACGACATTATAGGCTAGGGAATCGATTGTGGCATCGCGGTTGAAGGCATCAGTTACGGCATCGGTGACGACCCGGCCGGTTTCCGGACTAAAAATAATCGGATTAAACCAACCTGCTGCTCTGGAATCGGTGAAGCAAATGTCGAGCCCAAAGATTGTAACTTGATAGACCACCCTGTAAGGCGGTATCATCAATTTTATGGGATATTTTATTATCCCAATATTAGGTATGGCTCTGAGGCTTTCTGCTCGCTTTGTGTATTTCTCTTGGTCCCTGAAGTAGAGCGCCTTGAGTTCTGACCGAAACTGAAGGGGGCACATATTAATCGAGACCTCGATTTCATTCCATGTTTGCCCGAGCAATTTATAACGAACGTGTTTGCCAACGAACCGGATTTGGAGACCCTGGGCACTGTCGTATGGCAGGCTGGCCCGGTAATCGAGTAGAAGCTCTATCAGCACCCATTCTGCGGGCTCCAGGTGGATGGCCACAGACGACTGTGGTGGCATGTTTACCTAGACTACATAGATATAGGGGTTAGCTATATAATCACGAGATAAATACGTGGTTAAATACCTTAAGAGTCTGGTTTTAAAGAGAGTGTGGGATATAATATGGATAATTATGATTACTCCATGACCATCTTCCGTACTCCAACTGGCTTATCTGCCATAACCTGTGTTGACCATGGCCGTAGCTGCTGTACGAAACTCCAACGCGGTGGACCACAAGCAAGCATTAAGCCCCATCATAACAAAGGAAGCAGCGACTACATCATACGATTGGGGCAATGGCGTAGTTGGGAGCGCGTTTGACTGAAGAACAAACTTCAGGAACAAGGTTTTCACCTAGTTGATCAGAAGGTCACCGGTTCGATCCCGGTTTGCCCCATATAAATATTTTTTTAATCATTTTTATTACCACACTCACTAGTAGAAATTTCGATTGTTATCAAGCTGTTAGCTGTCTCTTAATTCTGTGACGATCATAAAATGCCTGAGTTAGGAACAAAAAGGAGAAAGTTTATTCAATAACATCTAGAGACGCGGATGCGGTTTAGCTGAAACCTCCTTTTCTGTGGCTTTCTCTATCCTTGCACCAAGGTCTTTGTTGACCCTACGGAACATCCCGTAGGTCGCTCTCCTGACTTTTTCATTCGCTCCCGCCAAATGGCCAGCTACGTTCCCTATAAAATTATCTTGTTGCCCTTTATCTTTGCCCATGACTTCCCAGAGTCTACCGGGCTGTACAAAATCTTCGTCAGTGACGGGCAGTTGCTTTGAAAGCACGGCACCAGCCCACTTCTCATGCTCTTGGCTAGCACGAACCGGCCGGAATGCTACCTTTCTAAAGCTGGATGGGTAGTTGGGATTTGCACCATGATTGCCGTCTACTGACATGTGGCCATCTCTTTGGTACGGTGTGTATGCCTTCAAGGGGCAGTTCACGGGTATCTGAGTGTAATTTGTACCTAGACGGTGGCGGTGAGTATCTGGGTAAGAGAACAGACGGGACTGTAGCACCGGATCAGCGGAGGGCTCGACACCCGGTACAACGTGGGAAGGTGAGAAGGCGGCCTGTTCCATCTCGGCAAAGTAGTTTTCTGGGTTTCTGTTGAGAGTGAGACGACCAACGCGGCGGAGGGGGACTTCGCCATGCGGCCAGACCTTGGTAAGGTCAAAGATATTCCAGCGGAATTTCTCAGCGTCTGCTGGCGAGAGGACCTGTACATAACATGTCCAGGGATGGATTTTGGTCCAGTCTTTATAGCGTTGAATAGGTCTTCAGTATGCCACCAGGGTTCTCAGCCGACATTCGGGTAGCCTCCTCATTGGTGAAGTTTTTGATGCCCTGGTCCGTCTTGAGATGGATTTGGACGTAGTTGAAGCCCCCATCAGGGGTTATCCATTTATACGTATGGCCAGAGTAGCCGTTCATGTGGCGGTAGGAGTAGGGTGTGCCGCGGTCCGAAAATAGGTGCATAATTTGGTGAGCAGACTCTTGATGCGTGGAAAGATAGTCCCAGAACATATCTGGATCTTTGAGGTTTGTTTGCGGATTGCGTTTCTGGGTATGGATGAAGATAGGGAACTTAGCGGGGTCACGCAGGAAGAAAATGGGTGTATTGTTGAAGACCCAGTCTAGGTTCCCTTCTTCAGTGTAGAATTTGATAGCAAACCCGCGAGGGTCTCGAGCGCTGTCAGCAGAGCCTTTCTCTCCACCAACAGTAGAGAAGCGAGTGAGCAACTTCGTCTTCTTGCCTACGCCTTTGAGCATATCGATTATAGTCTGACAGCGTACTTGTTAGTGTATAACCTGTTGGTGGAATGGATCTAGGTGGCCTCACAATGTCAGAGATATCATCCGTTACCTCAAATTCACCATACGCTCCGGCACCCTTGGCATGGACAACCCGCTCAGGGATACGTTCGCGGTCAAAATGCGCCAATAGGTCGATGAGATGGAAGTCCTGCAGTAGAAGCGGGCCATTCTCACCGATCCTCTGTGAAGACTCCGGGTCCATGACCTATACTGCCCATTAGCCATGCATTCTCCTTGCTGGTAGTCGGTGGATAATATACCGGACAGCCATTAGAGGTAGTATAAACTGGCACCTCATTGTAACGGCAAGCATCTAAGAGTTGTATTAGTATATGCGGAGCAGGGCTGAAGAAGAAAGCTCACCAGGCTTATTGTCGGATCCCATGATTGAAGATTCCTTGTTAGCTTGATATACTGTGATAAAAAGACTTCCTGCTCTTACACCATGGCATATCCGAATTAATGAGCGAGAAGAAGGCCATTGTAAAGAAAACCAGCTCTCTTATAGCTGGTCGGAGCTTGCCGCTTTGCCAACTTGGACACAAAAGCGTGAAACAGCGGTCTCGTGCGGGGACTGAGAAGCCTATAATACGGGACGTATACATCTTCTCTGCCCTGCAAAGGTACCTTTTCGTTACCATGTCACTGTTTATGTAGTGAAGCATGGCGAAGCGGTACTTGTACAGTACTTGATCAACTAAGGCTTGGTGTAGGTTATGTAGTTGCGTAACCTAGCCGTCCTCGGCCCAGTGGGAGTGCGGGGAGAGTTCTAGTATATATTTGCTCTCGCATATGACACACTCTTCGTCTTACTCTTCAGGCTGCTTCGCTCTCGTTTGATCCACAAGAGTTCAGTCCAAAGCCATCAAAGACTCTTTGTATTTATGGTAGAAATATTAATAGCGCTCGTACTATTATTCTGTTACGCTTTTAAACTTCTTTGATTGGGTCAAAGCAACTTCTCTCTCATTGGTCAAACCTTAACTAGAGCTGAGTCAGCAACACATACAGGCTTGGCAAATATTTTCCTTTTTCCACAGAAAATATTCACAACATCGAGTTTCCTTTGGTCGATGAAATATGAAACCTGGTGACTTGGCTACTACGATTAGCTATTTGGGGCTGAGAGGGCGGGGAATATTTGTTATATTACTTTGCTGAGATTAGCGGAAAAGGGCTCGATAAAATGGTTAAACTACACCGTACAGTTATATTTCGATTTCTTGGCTGGCCAAGTTGGCCCCGTTGAAACATGAACTGTCGTTACACGAACAAATGCAAAGGCGAATTGTAGTTGAATTAAATATTTATATCGTACATAGTACAGAGAGTAGGAAGAATAAGCTCGGACTCTGGCGGCAATGACTAAGCATAACCATTCTTATTTTAACCTCGGTTGAAATGTAAAGTCTATCGATAAGGGAAGAGCCAGACTACGAAGCAAAAGAGCTGAATTTATGAAGAATCAAAAACACACCAACCACCGTTAAACCCTCGTTTTATCATATACTTCTATTCCTATGATGGCTTCGCCGCTCCTTTCTACTCCAACAGTTAGAGTACGTGCTTTGCCTTTTAACCCAGAAAGCTTTAGGCCCTTTGGAACGGCAATTGAAACACCATTGCCAAAAACACTGAACGCCTCACCAAACACTCTCGCCGGCCTTAGCTCTCAATATTGTACGGCCGAATCTGCTAATCAAGGCTCTGCTGTGAAATGGAGCCCGATATCACCCATAACTGAATCATACGGAGCAAGTACAAAGAAAGGCTCAGCTCGCATGAGTATGTTTTCATGCTTCCCACGGGAATTGCGCGGCTCTCTATCCTTATCTCCTTCTTCCTCTGCTTCTCCTAAAGCATTTTCTGGACTATGGAATCAGAATTTGTCGGGACTGTTTGATGTCAAACACCTCGAAAGACATCCTTACACCTCCCAGACATTTATACCGCTATCAAGCAGCGAAAGCCGGGACCATTCTTCAAGCCGACTCGCGGGGTTCGACGATATTTTCTTTCTGATAATTGTTGCGCCATCGATGGCCGGCCTGGTAGATTCGAAGACTTCAATACATGATCCTCCAGATCTTACCAAGTTACAAGCTTTCATTGTTAAGCCCGGTCAGGCTGTGACCTACGCAGCTGGAACATGGCATGCACCCATGGTTGTTATAGGGAGACAGAGGATAGATTTTGTTGTTGTCCAATATGTGAATGGTATCGACAGTGACGACTGTGAGCTCGTTGGTCTAGAAGATGGGGTCGTCGTGGAGGTGGATGCTCGCTCGTCCAGGATAGTGGCTAAGCTGTAGTAGCCTGCTCCTAACCAACTTACTATTCAACAGCTCTTACCTTAAAGATAGCCCGCAAGTATCAATATATATATATATATTTGTGTAATATTCTTTACGGTCTCCTGTGCAGGGCAACGTAATAGTAAGCGTAAGTAACTATATTACATGAATTTGACTAAAGGTTGGGTATCAAGGGTAAATCAAAGTAGTGAGAAGACATCCAAAAGAAGGGGTAAATCGAAGGTATAGGGGATTAGATGGAAGAATTAGTACATTGTTAAGACGAAGAACGGGCCGCCTTGCGATAATTGTCTTGCACTCGATGTCCAAGCTCTGTTCCAGTAGCTGTCATTTTCTGAATCATGCCGTTGGCAACCTCAATCACACTTGGTGGTAAGCCAGCAAGTTGGGCAACCTTTAGTGCGTGAGACTGCCGGTTGACCCCAGGTTTTAGCTTGTGGATGTATGAGAAACCACCAGAAGAATCCTCCTTCAGGTCAGTGCAATATCGGCCAAGATGTTCAAAATCTGCTGTCATATCAGCCAGCACATGGAAATGAGTCGCAAACAAAGTGCGGGATTTATTCTCATTATGAAGATGATGTAGGCATGCGAATCCCACGGCTGTTCCGTCTTCTGGAGTTGTTCCTCTGCCGACCTCATCCATTATCACGAAAGAGCGAGGGGTGGCATGCTTTAGGATTGAGGCAGTTTCTAACATTTCAACCATAAATGTCGATTGATCGCGAAACAAATCGTCAGCTGCCCCGATACGACTGAATATCTTATCCACGAGCCCTATTTCGGCGTATTCTGCCGGAACGTAGGAGCCGACTTGTGCAAGAATTGTTATGAGAGCGTTTTGCCGAAGAAATGTACTTTTTCCAGCCATGTTGGGCCCAGTGATAAGTAAAATTCGCTCCTTATCTCCCACAAAACAGTCATTACTGACGAATGGGCGGCCTTGTTCTTCGACCCCAAGCTTAACAGTAGGGTGTCTGCCACCTATTATCTTATGGTTCAATCCATTGTTCACAATTGGCCGAACCATCCCTTGCTCCTTAGCTAGAGTTGCAAAGGAACATGCCACATCAAGTTCGTCTAAAACACCTGCGTTGCGGCGGAGTTTGACCAGATTCAAAATCACTGCATGTCGCAACGCCTTGAATATATTTTGTTCCTCAGCTCTAATTTGTTGCTTCATATTTTCCAGTTTGGCACCTAGTTGAGTCCAGGAAGCTAAATAAAATGAGCGTGTAGATTTCGATGAGGAAACGGTACGCGTTACTCCCAGGCTATCAAGTGAGCTTTTCATTGCTTTGGCCCCTTTGATATGAACAATATGTCCAAGGCCGGGGGTCCATTTTAGACTTAGGTGAGGAGTGTCTAAAGTTAGTTGTAGCTCTTTGGTTAGCTTAGTCTTCTCGCAGTAAAGGCTTTCAAGCGTCTCATGTAGGTTTCGTAAAGTTTTGCTAGCATCCCGGCGCATAATCCAAGTGATGTCACTCGGTGTATCAGGCTCGTTCGTTCCTTTCGGCCCATCTGTTTTTGAGTCTTTAACTCTCTTTGGCATAGCTTCGAGGTCCGCAGGTAAACCTTCACTTAACAGCACGTCATGAGCAAGAGCCGAATCATCAGCTGCCGCATTCTCCTCCACGCGCTGCTGCTGTAATAGCCTCTCTTCGTCAATTGAATCTTGTATTCGCTGTGATAGGTCCTCTAGACCTTCTAAATTGAAGCGATGCAGTAATGGCAGCATGCTTTTATGGGGGCTAGAAGTAGGTTGGTCTCTAACTAATGATTCAGTGTCTGTAAATTTTTGTTTCAAGATTGACTTAATACTGCTCGAAGCATTTATAGCTCTGGAAAGGCATATAAGGTCGTCTGGTAAGCCCCTTCCCAGAGAGAATTTCTGGATGAGACGTTGGGTATCATAGCTGCGTTTTAATGACCTCATGATATTATCCCGCAACTCATCATCTTCTATTAGAAGAGAGACTAGGTCTAGGCGCTCATTGATAACACCTAACGAGGCAGATGGCGAGGCTATATGGATAAGTTAGAGGAGGAGAATATGCATGCTTATAATTAGGCGACGTACTTAGTCTTTCTCTCAATAGTCGAGCGCCACTGCTAGTTGATGTTCGCCGTACTGCATGCAGCAGGCTTCCTTTGCCAAAACCATCCCTCGCCGTTTCCAGAATTTCAAGTCCCCTCAAACTATTCCGGTCAATAGACATAAAGTCCTCAGTTAATTTTCGGCGAGGTGGCTGGAGCCTCACATCAGTATTTTTCATTTGCTTCTTAACATATTCTAAGATCATCTTGCAAGCTGATTCCTCCTGTGGAGTGAACATAGAAGCAGCTTTTGTAGGTATTGGTGAATCGAAACAAGAGTTCCATTCTGATAATGGCCGCATAATTTTAGGGCATTGGAAGTAGGTTATTGGTTGGTGTTCGTGGGCCACCAAAGCTTCGAGCTCTGCCCGTATTGATTCGCCAACTGATTGATCAACTAAGATTTCGCGAGCTGCTATACGTGTGATTGCTGATGGGAGCATCTGAGGGCTAGTATTCTGGGTCAGAAAATCTCCAGTTGATATATCCAGCCACGCAAGCCCGATAGATTCTGATTCAGGAAGGCAACGGAACTGTCCTCGAGTTACACCATCATCTGTATCATGCTGATCAGTGACAAAGCTGGGATTGACATGTATAGCAAGAAGGTAATTGTTTTGGCATTGGTCAATAAATTTCTCATCAATCAATGTGCCGGGGGTGACTATACGAGCAACTCTGCGATCGAACATTAGCCCTCCAGACATTGCTTTCGCAGCGGCATCATTGGCAAATTCTTCGCTAATAGCCACGTTTTTCTTCATCTCCTGAACTAGGACCTTGAGAAATCGATCTAATTGAAAGTAGGGAAAGCCGGCCATGGGAACTGCGCCACCAGCCGTTTTTTTATAAGCCAGTTTTAAATTTAGCAAACTGGCGTACTCCTCAGCTTGATGGAGATAAAGCTACAAAGGTATTTAGTATCTATCGCAGGCGAATTCATGCATCATATATTTGGTAGAGTGTAAAGGAACCTACCTCATAAAAGTTCCCAACTCGAGTGAGAAGCACACAGTTTTGAAACTTTTGCATATTATATTTGGCCCCCTGGACCACAGTAGGATACTGTGGTGCATCACCAATAAATGGGGCTAATGGTTTGGATCCTAGGGGCCCCTGAGCAAGATCTGTAAGTCTCGCCGCTGACTTTGTTTTGGCACCGCGCCATTGTATTGGGTATGCTCTCTTTGCCTCCCAAGATATAGGCATTTGCGGGGAAATTGAGTTTCCAAGATAAAATGCATGTCTTGCTACACGTCCACGAGCACTTGGAAGTCTCATTGTCTGTTGAAAGTATTAAATTGGCTGGTTTCTCCTGTTGATAACTTTTGGTCACTTACATTTACCGTTTAGACACAGTTATATCACGTGATAGAAGGCATCGCGCTAGTCTGCTTTGGGGGTTTATCATGTTTATGTAAGATTTTGAGCTTTTGACGCGGTTTAACCAGAAATTTTGCAAGCTTGAGAGCAACTTTCAATATTTCAATCTTCGTTGCTCTTTCACGGGGTTTCTTTTCTCAACAGATGGATTGAGGTTATATTCTTTTAATTTTAGGTTGATGCTTTGAGGGTATCCATTCAGCGTTTTAAACGAGCAGAACCAAAGCTTCAGACAGGACTGTTGACCCCCCAAATTACCCCAAGATGGCGGACCCAAATAATGTCGCGCAGTACAAGTACTCGGCGATGTCCAACCTGGTCCTCCAGGCGGATCGTCGATTCGTTACTCGCCGTGCTGATGAAGTTACCGGTGATCCAGAGTCCCTGGCGGGCCGCCTTAGCATCAAGGACATGGGCGCTCACGCGATGCGCCCAGAAATGAAGCAGAAGAAGGCATCTGCACCAAAAGATATTGAGCGTGGAGGTATAAGAGAGGGTGCTGATGTCTTGAAAAGGGAGCAGCGCAAAAGAAAACGAGGGGAGCAGGCACAACTTCGAGGTGTTGGGATTCTGTCCGCCGCAGATGCCCTGATCGAAGGTCTTAAATACCGGCCACGAACAGCTGCAACCAGAGCTACATATGATTTGATATTGACCACGACGGCGAATCATCTTGGCGATGTTCCACATGACGTTATTCGGAGTGCGGCAGATGCTATACTAGAGCTCTTGAAAGATGAGAACATGAAAGATTTTGATAAGAAAAAAGAAGTGGACGACTTGTTGGGTGTTTCAATGGGACCAAAAGAGTTTAACGAACTGGTAAACCTGGGGAAGAAAATTACAGACTACGATGCCCAAGATGATGATGAAACGAACGGAGCTGGTGCAGAAGGGCAAGAGAGTGCTGAGCTAGACGAGCGCCAGGGTGTTGCTGTTGTATTCGATGAATCCGATGAAGATGAAGACGAAATACGGCCCGATACTGAGGTAAGAGATGAGGGAGAGACCAGTGAGGGTGAAGATATGTCTGACGGAGAGGGGCCAACGGCGAGTGAAGATGCCCGACGTACACCTGAGGATATGCTGGGCATGGGGGACGAAGACATGATCCTTGATGCGGGAGCTGGAGCCGTCGCTGAAAAATCCGAAGGGAGCAGTAAGATTGTACCCGCTCGTGAGATTGATGCATACTGGCTACAACGACAAATCGGAAGTATATACTCCGACGCCCATGTACAGCATGAGAAGGCCCAGGAAGCTTTTGCCCTGATGAGTGAACAGTCAGAGGATGGTACACCAAAGGCATTGCGAGATGTTGAAAATGACTTGATGGAACTGTTCGACTATGACCATCCGGAGCTTGTTGGAACCCTGGTGCTCAATCGCGATAGAATCGTGTGGACGACAAAGTGGAGAAGGGAAGCTGAAGATACTGATGCTAGGCATCTTATCGAAAGCCAAATGATAGAGAGTGGACACCGGCATTTACTAGATGAACTCACTGGCAAATCCCAGGACCTCTCCTCAGAACGTCCTGGGAAAAAGTTGAAAGTAGATTTGATGGATGTAGACGTTCCTGAGGCCATAAAGGCGGACGAAGCTGAGGCTAAACTAAGGAACGTCGTTGGTGGACTACCTCCATCAAAGGTTATCAACCTCGAGAACTTGGTGTTTGATCAGGGCAACCATCTGATGACCAATCCCAATGTCAAACTTCCTCAGGGCTCCACGAAGCGGACATTCAAGGGCTATGAGGAGATCCACGTCCCCGCACCAAAACCCAAGCGTGATGATGATATCCGGAGAATACCGATTACTGAGCTCCCGGACTGGTCACGGCCTGGTTTTGGCAACACTGATAAACTGAATCTTATTCAGTCAAAATGTTTCCCTACAGCTTTCAATAACGATGGAAATATGCTTATTTGCGCCCCGACTGGATCAGGCAAAACGAACGTTGCTATGCTTACAATGCTTCGTGAAATTGGCAAAAACAGAAACCCAGAAACCGGTGAAATCATGCTTGACGATTTTAAAATTATTTACATAGCTCCATTAAAAGCATTGGTTCAGGAACAAGTAGGGAACTTTGGAAAGCGCCTTCAACACTATGGCATCCGAGTCTCTGAACTCACCGGTGATCGTCAATTAACCAAGCAGCAAATCGCAGATACCCAACTTATTGTCACCACTCCGGAAAAATGGGATATCATTACGAGAAAAGCCACAGACACAAGCTATACTCGACTAGTCAGGCTAGTAATTATTGATGAAATCCATTTACTTCACGATGAGCGTGGCCCTGTACTAGAGAGTATTGTGAGCAGGACGATACGAAAAACAGAGCAGACTGGCGAACCCGTCCGGCTTGTTGGGCTTAGTGCAACTCTCCCTAATTATCGTGACGTTGGCAGCTTCTTGCGTGTTGATCCTATCAATGGCTTATTTCATTTTGACGGCACTTTTAGGCCTTGTCCATTGAAGCAGGAGTTTATTGGTGTCACGGATAAGAAGGCTATTAAACAATTAAAAACGATGAACGACATCTGCTACACGAAAGTCCTTGACCAAGTAGGTGCCAACAAGAATCAAATGCTGATATTCGTTCATTCACGAAAGGAAACCGTTAAAACCGCGAGATATATCAGAGATAAGGCTGTGGAGATGGAAACAATAGGGCAAATTTTAAGAAGTGACGCTGCCAGTCGGGCCATCTTAGCGGAAGAAGCCGATTCAGTTAATGATCCTGGACTTAAAGACCTGATGCCGTACGGATTCGGAATCCATCACGCTGGAATGAGCAAGGCAGATCGAACGTCTGTTGAAGATCTATTTGCCGATGGTAGCTTGCAAGTACTTGTTTGTACAGCTACTCTTGCCTGGGGTGTTAATTTGCCGGCACATTGTGTTATCATCAAGGGAACACAAGTCTACTCTCCCGAGAAAGGTAGCTGGGTTGAGCTTAGCCCGCAAGATGTCCTTCAGATGCTCGGGCGAGCTGGTAGACCTCAGTACGATTCATTTGGAGAGGGCATTATCATCACTACCCAGACAGAGTTGCAGTATTATCTCTCCCTGCTTAACCAACAACTCCCCATTGAAAGTCAACTTATGAGCAAACTTGCTGATAATCTCAACGCTGAAATTGTTCTTGGAAATGTACGGTCCCGTGAAGAAGGTGTGGAATGGCTTGGGTATACCTATCTTTTCGTCAGAATGCTTCGTTCCCCCGGACTCTATAGCATTGGCGCCGATTATGAACATGACACTTCCCTTGAGCAGCGTCGTGTGGATCTGATTCACTCTGCGGCTATGGTCTTGGAAAAATCTAATCTCGTTAAATACGATAAGAAGACCGGCAAACTCCAGGCCACTGAACTCGGACGCATTGCTTCACATTATTACATCTCCCATAGTTCCATGCTCACATATAATCACCATCTGCAGCCTATGATTTCTACCATCGATCTCTTCCGCATTTTCTCTTTGAGTGAGGAATTCAAATATATTCCTGTACGCCAAGATGAGAAATTGGAACTGGCGAAACTCTTAAGTAGAGTCCCAATTCCAGTCAAGGAGAGCATTGAGGAACCCCACGCCAAGATTAACGTGTTGTTGCAAGCTTTTATTTCTCGTCTGAAGTTAGACGGGCTCGCCCTGATGGCGGATATGGTGTATGTCACTCAGTCTGCTGGCCGTATTCTCCGTGCCATCTTTGAGATTACACTTCGAAAGGGCTGGTCATCGGTAGCAAAGACAGCCCTTGACCTCTGTAAAATGGCTGAAAAGAGGATGTGGCCAACCATGTCTCCGCTACGCCAATTCCCAACCTGCCCTCGGGATATCTTACAGAAAGCCGAACGGATTGATGTTCCATGGTCAAGCTATTTCGACCTAGATCCACCGCGTATGGGTGAGCTTCTAGGTATTCCAAAGGCGGGTCGTATCGTATGCGATCTTGTGTCAAAATTCCCTCGACTCGAGCTACAGGCTCAGGTACAGCCAATGACACGTTCGATGCTTCGCGTGGAGTTGACCATTACACCTAATTTCACCTGGGATGACTCCCTCCATGGAAACGCGGAATCTTTTTGGATTATTGTTGAAGATTGTGACGGTGAAGATATTCTTTTCTATGACCAGTTCATCCTGAAGAAAGAGTATGCGATGTCAGAAATGAACGAGCATTTGGTAGAATTCACAGTTCCTATCACTGAGCCCATGCCACCCAACTACTTCATAACTTTACTTTCTGACCGATGGACACACTCCGAAACCAAAGTTGCCGTTGCCTTCCAAAAATTGATCCTTCCCGAGAAATTCCCTCCGCACACTCCACTCTTAGATATGCAGCCTGTTCCGGTGAAGGCTGTGAGACGGGCAGATTACCAAGACCTATATCCCGACTGGCAAAAGTTCAACAAAGTGCAGACACAAGTATTCAAGGCACTATTTGACTCTGACGATAATGTGTTCATTGGTGCCCCTGTAGGGAGTGGGAAGACAGTATGCGCCGAATTTGCTATCCTGAGACACTGGTCTAAGGAAGATTCAAGAAAGGCAGTATACATTGCGCCATTCCAGGAACTTGTTGATCAGCGACTTGCGGATTGGACTGCTCGCTTGGCTAATGTTGCCGGAGGTAAATCGATCCGGAAATTGACAGGAGAGACTACAGCCGATCTCAAGATTCTCGACCAGGCAGATCTTGTCCTTGCGACGCCTATTCAGTGGGATGTCATTTCCCGACAATGGCAGAGACGCAAGAATGTCCAAGCAGTTGAACTCTTCATTGCAGACGACCTCAATATATTAGGCGGACAAGGAGGATACGTTTATGAAGTTATTGTATCACGAATGCACTACATTTCTCTTCAAACAGAGCAAGAGCTACGAATCGTTGGCCTTAGCGTGCCATTAGCAAACGCCCGTGATATTGGAGAATGGCTTGGAGCTAAGAAGCATACCATTTTCAATTTCAGTCCTCACGTTCGACCTATTCCTCTGGAGCTACATATTCAATCTTTCACCATCCCTCATTTTCCATCGCTTATGCTTGCAATGGCAAAGCCTGCTTACCTATCTATTCTTCAACTATCCCCCGACAAACCTGCGATGATATTCGTGCCAAGTCGCAAGCAAGCGCGATCGAGTGCCTTGGATCTCTTTACTACTTGCGTTGCGAGCGAAAATGAAGACCGTTTCCTCCATGCTGATATCGACGAGATAGCACCTCTACTCGACAGGATCGAAGAGAAAGCATTGGCGGAATCAATTTCTCATGGCATTGGCTATTACCACGAAGCCCTAAACACAAGTGATAAACGCATTGTTTCACACCTCTACAAAATTGGTGCCCTCCAGGTCATGATTGCGTCCCGGGATGTGTGCTGGGAGCTTGACCTTACAGCTCATCTCGTTATTATCATGGGGACTCAATTGTTTGATGGCCGCGAACACCGATATCTCGACTACCCAATTAGCGAAATTCTTCAGATGTTCGGCAAGGCTACACGTCCTCGCGAAGATAGAATTGGCAAAGGTGTGCTAATGGTCCCTGCTGTTAAACGTGAATATTACAAAAAATTCCTCAACGAAGCGCTTCCAATGGAGAGCCATCTACAACTCTACCTTCACGACGCGTTTGTGACGGAAATCAGCACGAAAACGATCACGTCTACCCAAGATGCTGTCGACTGGATGACTTATTCGTATTTCTACCGACGGCTTCTCGCCAACCCTAGTTATTACGGATTGAGCGATGTTAGCCATGAAGGGCTAAGTACATTCTTGTCAGAGCTTGTCGAAAACACGCTCAAAGAGTTGGCAGAAGCACAGATAATTGATATGGATGAGGATGATAATATTGCTCCACTGAACGCTGCCATGATTGGAGCCTACTATAACATCTCCTTTATTACCATGCAGACCTTCCTTCTTTCGCTCTCACCACGGACCAAGCTCAAGGGAATGCTTGAAATCGTCACATCTGCCACAGAGTTTGAAAATATCCAAGTACGACGACATGAAGATTACATCCTTCGCCGTGTTTATGATCGAGTACCTGTCAAAATGTCCGATCCAGCCTTTGATTCACCACATTTCAAAGCCTTTGTTCTCCTACAAGCACATTTCTCACGCCTTCAACTGCCAATTGACTTGGCAAAGGATCAAGAAATCATTGTTGGAAAGGTTCTTACCCTCCTCAGTGCCTGTGTCGATGTTCTTCCCTCCAAGGGCCACCTGAACGCCATGAATGCCATGGAGATGTCGCAGATGGTTGTTCAATCCATGTGGGACAGGGACAGTCCGTTAATGCAGATCCCCCACTTTGGTCCAAACGCTGTCAAAGCTGCCAACGAGTTCAAGTATGTCCCCATGCACATATCACATATCACAGTGGATAAAAATGCTAACAATTATGCTAGGATACGTGATATCTTCGAGTTTATGGAGGCTATGGATCCATCTGAGAATAAGGACTACAATACCCTTGTAAAACGGCTCGGCCTTGATAACAAGCAGCTCGCCCAGGCCGCTGCTTTTACCAATAACAAGTACCCAAATCTTGACCTCGATTTCACTGTCCTTGATAAAGAAAATATCACTGCTGGGGAACCAGCCTATCTTAAGGTGAAGATCGAACGCGAGCTGGATGAAGACGAGGAACCAGATACCACTGTGTCTGCTCCATTCTATCCTGCAAAGAAGATGGAGAATTGGTGGCTCGTGGTTGGTGAGGAAAAAACAAACAGCTTACTCTCGCTCAAGAGGGTAACTGTAGGCCGAAAACTTGAGATGAAGCTGGAATACATCGTACCCAGCCCTGGAGAGCATGAGCTAACCCTCTATCTTATGAGTGACAGCTATGCAGGAGTCGACCAGGACCCTACCTTTAAAATAACAGCTGCTGAGGGCATGGATGAGGACGAGGACGAGGACGATGATGAAGAAGACGAGGAGTAGGGTGTAATATACCTGCTGAGCTGCTGTACCATGCATTTTTCTCCCTTTCACGGGCTGTTACTTCGTTTAGAATAAACACATGCATGCATGTATAAATCTTGCTATTTTCATATAATTATTTCGCCTTGTTTCATCGTCGCTATCGGCTTTTTTATGCATAAAAGCATAAAAGCATGTTGGCTTGGTTGCTCCGCCAATAGGTCACGTGGTTCCCCGCAGATGGGGGTAAGCCAGGTTCCCTTAGCTATATAAGAAGCCGAAGAGCATCAAGAACATCCAGTGTCTCTTCTCTCCACCTTAGTTCTTTTCTGATATTGCTAGGATTGATAACTTACAGCTTATTGTCGACTTAATTGCGTTATCCAACTCAATACCTTTTCAAAACTCGTTAAAAAAATAGCCACACGGCTCCTACACACCGCATCATGACGGTACGAAAGACAAAATTTGATCCAGAGTAGGGACCAGGCCTCCTGTATTTCTCTAAGACTATGAATATTGACTCTCTCTTTAGGGTTCTTTTGAGTGCTCCTCGCCGCTCAGCATGTATCCCGAACCCAGCAGGAACTCTCATTGCGTATACGCAGTCAACATATAGCTTCGAGTCCCATTCATCGCATACAGAGCTTATCATCCTAGACCTTGCCTCCAAGGACACTATAGTCCTTACTAATTCGTACAGTGGAACCCCACAATGGCTTGATAACAGTCAATTGATGTGGTTGAAGGAAGAGAATAATGGAAACACGAGCTTTATGGTTGCTGATGTTTTGGGTGATTCGAAACCCTATGTTGCTGGAGTGACTCCTGGTACTGTGTCGAATCTCAAGACCGTTAAATTATCCAATGATCACTTTGCTTTTGCCGTCAGCGGCAAGGCGAACCTCGATGGAACTCTCTTCAACCCATCTAACGTGAAAAAGCCAGTAAGCTCTGGCAAGATCTACACCTCTCTCTTCGTGAGGCACTGGGACGAGTATACCCAGGATGAGAAGCACACTATATGGGTTGGAACTGTTTATAAGTCACCTTTTTCTGGGGCTGAATCTCCCCAATACAACATCTCTGGTTTGAGGAATGTGTTCAAGCTTTTCAATCTTCCACCGCGTGTGGAATCGCCAATTCTGCCCTTTGGCGGATCCGATCATTTTGATATCTGTCCCAAGGGAGTCGTATTCGTCAGCAAAGATCCTTCTCTTAACGACGCTCTTCACACAAAATGTGTCTGCTACGTGTGTCCTATTCCTTTGGCGGCATTGACGGAATCTATTAGTCCCATGGAAGCAAAGGTAGTCACGGCTGCTTCGCTTGAGGGGGCCTTAACATCCCCAGTCATATCCCCAGTCAACAATACCCTAGCTTTCCTTGCCATGCGAGAAGATGGATATGAGTCTGATAAGAACAGAATAGTCATAGCTAAGGGCGTATTTGACCAAGAATCAGAACCTATTGAGCTTTTTGCCAATGAGAGTGGCTCAGGTGCATGGGATCGTAGCCCCAGCTCATTGACATGGTCCCATGATGATTCTTCACTCATAATCAAAGTAGAAGATACTGGTCGTGGCCTTGTTTTCCAAGTCCCAATGGGGGACGCAAAGACGTTAACTACTGCCAACTTACTCAACATCTCCTCTACCGGCTCCGTTGTCGATGTTGCTTCCACTCCTAGGGGCCTTTTCCTCTCAAGTAGCAGCCTTGTGGAAAGCAGCTTATACTCTATAGTAGAGCCCAAACACCAAGGAGAAACCAAAGAAATATCCTCGGCCACAAACAACGGTTCGTCCTTTGGGCTCTCGCCCTCCCAGGTCGGCGAAACTTGGTGGAAGGGCGCCAATGACCACCCCGTTCATGCATGGGTTATTAAACCTTCCAACTACAACCCGCACGAAAAGTACCCTCTCACATTCCTTGTCCATGGGGGGCCCCAGGGAGCATGGACCGATCAATGGAGCACTCGATGGAATCCTCTAATCTTTGCTGAGCAGGGTTACGTCGTCGTCACCCCCAAACCCCACAGGAAGTACGGGATATGGACAAGCCTTCACTGATGCTA